AACAATACACAAGAGATCTCCTAATCGTAGGGGAAGAGGAGGAGGTGTTAGGGGAGTTCACCAGATCAGGGCTTCACAAAAAGATTGGTGGGGAAGAGGCAGCAGAGGCCGATCTCTTTATTATTACTGGGAAGAGGCTGAAGGCCCTTTTTCAGGAGGCAAACTCTGTGTGCCATATTTCATGTTGTCATTTTTTAATGATATTTGATATGCATAAACTGGAAGACAAGTAAAACTAACATCTAATTCCAGATGATTCAAACAATCATTTCATGTTTGAAAGCGGATCTCTCAGGGAGATGAACACCGTGCAAACAGACCAGGCAACACCTCGAATCCAACATGGGCCATCATCTCCTCCGCAACCGGCTCACCAATCTCAACGCAGACTTCTTATGGAGATGAACTCCGTGCAAACAGACCAGGCAACTCCTCGAATCCAACATGGCCCATCGTCTCCCCCTCAACCGGCTCACCAATCTCAATGCAGATCTCTTAGGGAGATGAACTCCATGCAAACAGACCAGGCAGCACCTCGAATCCAACATGGCCCATCGGCTCCCCCGCAACCGGCTCACCAATCTCAATGCAGACTTCTTATGGAGATGAACTCCATGCAAACAGACCAGGCAACTCCTCGAATCCAACATGGCCCATCGTCTCCCCCTCAACCGGCTCACCAATCTCAATGCAGATCTCTTAGGGAGATGAAATCCATGTAAACAGACCAGGCAGCATCTCGAATCCAACATGGCCCATCGGCTCCCCCGCAACCGGCTCACCAATCTCAATGCAGATCTCTTAGGGAGATGAACTCCATGCAAACAGACCAGGCAGCATCTCAAATCCGGTTCTCCAGAAAGATGGTGTTGGTGAACTATGTTTTAAAGGCTATATTCAATAAATTTAATGTGATGAGTATCTTTTGTATTTTTGTTTGTTTTGGCAGAGAACAATACACAAGAGATCTCCTAATCGTAGGGGAAGAGGAGGTGTTAGGGGAGTTCACCAGATCAGGGCTTCACAAAAAGATTGGTGGGGAAGAGGCAGCAGAGGCCGATCTCTTTATTATTACTGGGAAGAGGCTGAAGGCCCTTTTTCAGGAGGCAAACTCTGTGTGCCATATTTCATGTTGTCATTTTTTAATGATATTTGATATGCATAAACTTGAAGACAAGTAAAACTAACATCCGAAATAGATATCCTTTAGCAAAGATAATTTTTTTCGGGAATACTTCCAAGATACTTCCAATTGTTTAAGAACTAGAGATTATATATAAATATTTGGTTCTGCGACATTGATTTTAAACCTAATGTTTGATATAAAGTTTTATCCTTTACAGAAAGGCATATTCATCCTCCACTGGACATCTTCTTGGTTTTGTAGAGGTTGGGGACATCAATAATGAGTTCAGGGTGTTTGAGAGACGCATCAAAGAAGACACTGCTGAACTGGCCACGCATGCATTCATGATAATGGTTTGTGGAATATTTTCATCTGTGCAATAGGCTGTTGCATTCTTTCCCACGATTGCTTTACGCAGTGGAGAAATTTATGACTGCGTCATGAAAACCGTTCTCAAGGTAGAGACAGCTGGGCTTAGAGTTTGTGCAGTGGTATCTGATGGGGCATCCTGCAACAGTAGTAGGTTTATGGTTGGACAGGCCAGGAATGTGGTGGGAAAATGCCTGGGCATCATTTTCAAGTGCCCAGTGGAAAGAAAACTATAGGATGTCCAGGCCTGCTTTCACTCATCTGGTAGAGGAATTGCGCCTCGATATCGGAAAAAATGACATTCGTGGACCAGTTGTCTCTGTGGAGAAAACGGGTGGCCACGACCGAGGAAAAACGGTTGATTGGAAAAACCAGCCTCCAGCTCAAAGAGGAAGGCAGAATACTGCAAACATTCTAACAGAAACCCCTGGAGTCAACCGCACTGCCAGTCAAGCTAAGACCCCACTTGAAGCATGGAAAATCCTCTTCACAGATGATATGATGGACTTGGTTGTAAAGGAGACATGTCTTCCTGGACCCTGGCTCGTAGGCGCCGTCGGTGGAGAGCCCATCGATTGCAGCAGAGCTTGCTACGACTCTGCAACAATCTGGATGCCTCAATTATGGTATTAGAAGCCTGGTTGCTGTCAAACCTGCGAGTCCTATATCGGTTGGACAGGCCAGGATTAATGTGGTGGGAAAATGCCTGGGCATCGTTTTCAAGTGCCCAGTGGAAAGAAAACTTTAGGATGTCCGGGCCAGCTTTCATTCATCTGGTAGAGGAATTGCGCCTTGATATTGAAAAGAATGACATTCGTGGACCAGTCGTCTCTGGGGAGAAACGGGTGGCCATCATTCTGTGGCGCCTTGCCACGTACACCCAACGCATTTCGTTGCATAAGCCACTTCTTTGGCATTGGCTGAACGTCGTCATGGATGATTACCCATGGCGTTTGTAAGGCAAATGGGAGGATCCTGCCAAGGCACCTGAAATTTCCTTCTGCCGACTATTTGCAGGAGGTGAAGGAAGGATTCGTTGATATGGGGATGCCTCAAGCTGTAGGGGCCATTGATGGAACTCACATCCCCACCAAGGCCCCGGTGGAAAACAAGAATGATTACTATAAAAAAAAAGTTACCTAACGCATTTGATGCATTAGCTACTTCTTTGGCGTTGGCCGAATGACAGCATGGTTTATAGCCCATGTCGTTTGTAAAGGACCTACCCATAATCAGGGTCACACACTGGACTTGGTCATGTCACATAGTGATAGTCACTTTGTATCCAAGTGCTCAGTGATCGATTAGGGACTTTCAGATCACTTCAATGTTAACTGTACTCTGAGAATTGTGAATCCAGATGTTGAGAAAAACGCCTTCCAGCACGTTTCCCTCTGTGTGTTGGTGAACATGAAGAAAAATTTTAGGGACTCCTAGAGTATTTTTGGTGCTGTATTCCGATTTTGGGGTACCGATTTTGGTTGTTTTTGCTAGTTTATCTGTCCGGTAGGGCAGTACTGTAGTATTGTTGTTACCTTAATCCGTAGTCTTTTCCTCCGGATGGGAGGACAATATTTTTTGGCCTGTTCTCTGGTTATTTTGTAGAATCAGTAGGAGCAGTGGTTTTCAATAGTATTGCTATTACTGCTCCTTTTTAGAACTTAGGGTGTATTGTTCTGGCTTTCTAGGAGGAGAAGAGTTCAGACCATCACCAAGATAGCACCTATAATTTTGCTGCTCTATATCTTGTAAATATACTTGTGAATCCGAACAATGTGACTCATCGTTTTTAGAGTTATAATAAATTATACTCTTGCATATTACACTTCAAAGAAAGTCTCAGCATCTCTTTATTTTATGTACTTCTCAATATTCCAATAACTTAACACACCGATCCCAAACACGACATGGTGGAGAACCTGGTTTTATAGAATTTTATTCCTCCTACTTACTGTGAGGACCAGGAATTGAAGTGAACATTTGAATATCTCGATTTTGTCTGCTGAAAACGACACTATAAACATGACAAAAAATTAACCAACGACGACAACATGCATGGCGACGTAGACTTCAACCTATAGCTCAGCTCATCCTTCATGAAGCTCGACCAACGACTTCGCATTATGAAAGTAATGGACAACACCCTTGACATGGACGACTACGCCAACAGCAAACCACGTTGGATGCAACACCCAGCTAGACATCAACGGACATCACCCAGGAGATCAACAAACAATTCACGCCCATGACATCGACAGAGAGCATGCACCCAGGACCATGATGAGGACATCAACGCCTCACCGTAACTTCACTTATATGGTTCCAACTTTGTGAGTGAGTGTGTAAGAGAGAATAGTGTCGTAGTAATTACATGTAGTTAATTGTTTTTAATACTTTTAATATTGTGCATCTGCGTAATTTATTTGCAACAAATTCGTAGTTTGCAGTAGCTGTCTTTTATTTAGTTTGTATACTTGTCAAAATCTTCTTAGTTGTTTTATCTAAAATTCCAACTTTCTACTTAACGTTGATTCATTGGTAGGTCTACATTTGTTATCATTATGTGCCTGTTGACTGACCTTGACCAAAATGACCCCGACTGACCAGACAAGTACCACTGTTAAGGTGACACATGTAATATTGAATGCAGTTAAACATGATAAAGGAATTGGAAGTTGAATAAATTACATCACCACCCTATATAAGCTTGTCTAAGACTAGATCAATTGCCCAGGGCTTTCGTAATCCTGCCAATCTGCAGTGGAAAGGTGAGCAATATATTCTGTGATTTAATGGTAATGTCACAAGCTAGGCTATTATGACCCAAGCATTCGCGAAGGTGGAATATCTTCCCCTTACATCGACACATTCATGAAAATAAAACAGGAAATCTTTGGCATATCCCGCCAATGTGCATACGGAAGCTGATCGCAAACAGTAGTCCTTCTTACAGGAGGTCTTGACAGCTTACAGATCCCATTTCCTGTTCAAGGAAAGGACCCTTGACAATGTCAAGTAGACTTGGACTTAAATAAAAAATATTAATTTAAATCCTTCCTATTCTCTCTAATACAATTAGAAAAAAACAGAACACATAATATCTGTTTTGAACTACATAAGAAAATATGGAATGGTATCTGTATAGTATAATTGAAATCTTACTGAATTTTATTTTATGAGATGTTCTGCTTCTCTCCATCATGTCTCTGTATCATTGAAGAGAAATATGTATTTACTTTGAGATTATCTCTTGTGACAATGTGAATTTTAAAAAATGAAGACTTGGAAAGCAGATGGTAAGATTACCTTTACTGCTTTCACCAAGGATGGAAGGAAATATGCATTATCACTTGGTACAAATTGTAAGTCTAATTTTATTCTTGACAATTTGCTAGACATAAAATGAAACAGACAGGCTGGTCAACCTCACAGGCGCATGTCATGCCTGGATAATCTGATTCGTTTTTGTGATTTCCAGTTTTTTCAAATATTTGTTTGTACATGTAGATATTTGAATTTGTTCTATATTTGTTTGTAAATGTTACTGTGTTCATTTTACTTGTATTTTAACAATGTGCATGGACTGCCTGAAAAGCAGTCTATTTTGACCGAATATGAGTTTTCCCATTGGTTTAGATAAAGCGATTTTGATGCGATTTCCTCTATCATTATTTTGCCATTTGTGTAACCAATCGTGCTGGACAAAAGTAATGATCTCTGAAGCCCTCTATGGAACTCATTTCAAGTTTTCATGTTTTCGGAAACTATGACTCTTTGGTTTTGAGAAGCCATTCGGCAAACCACATAGCCAGTGTTTCAACATTGCAGACTGCACTTCATCTACTAAGAGGATTATCTATCCATGTGAAAGGAAACCCTTCCATTCACTGCTACTAATGTGAAAGGGGCTTTGCAATGACAATGGATTTGTGATGTATTTAACTCTTCTTAGTTTGACTTTATCTTTGTTCTGCTCATTGAATCAATGGGGAAGACCATTCATGGACTTACTATACATCTCATCATAAAAAGTAAAATTTTGCTTACAATATCTAAGACAGTTTAAAATTACAGCATCATTACAATATTATGATTCAATCTGAACCAATATTCAATACAAAAATATAGCACAATTTAGCGACTGTTTTCTGTTACAAACCACGAAAAGCAAATTTTGCTTTCATCAACAAATGATCAGAGGGAAAGACTTGGTTCGGACATGCCCAGAAGGGGGCGATCGCTTCTTTCTTGACAACCTCCTCCACTCCTAGGCAATGGAGCTTCTCTGCTGTATACCAGATGTAATCCAAGGTCTGTATGTGGCAGGGAGGGGCAATGCTGCCGTTGAGACTTGAATCCATGACCTTCAGAGGAAAGTGCCTTGGTGTTGGGGGGTCTGACGATTCTTCCGACTGTTGGTCAAGAGCAAACGCGCAAAAGAGAATAATGAAATAAATATCCTATTGGATTCTTGTATAGCACGCATAAATGCTGCAAGCCATCTCAATACATGTAGGTGTTTACAACATTTTCTCTTTCAAACTATACCCTTTTCATTTTAACAAGACATTTAATTTGATATATTACAATGAGTAATGTAGACTATGTACACCTTCTTGGAGGGGTTAGTCCTCATTTACCTTCTGCAGTATTACATTTTTTTTAAAGGGCAAGTCCACTCTGATATTAAGTTGGTTTTAATGGAAGCAGAAAAATAAGAGAAGCAGGTCAGTGAAAATTTGAGCAAAAACTGTTTAAAAATAAGAAAATTATGAATTTAGGAAGGTGAGATCAATCAAGTACTAATCGGCAACTCTGTGTCTCTTCCCCTTTCACAGCAATATTCAGCACTTCTATTCCACACAGATTGAGAATACTCAAATAAGAATCATGTACGTCACATCAAAGCTAACAATACAAGAAAAATGACCATGGTATGAGACAAGATTTTGTCTCTTTCTGTGACCCCTTAGATATGATGCTAACCTCTTCTAGAAATCCATCCAATCTGTTGTGTTTTGTGTAAGCATCTATCCACTGTGGTCCATAGTTATCTGTGAAGCAAGTGAATGGTGGTTCTTCTCCCTGCACACAAAAAGTTACAAAGATAATTATTACGGAACACAATTATACTGAAAGCCTTTTATTCATTTATTTGAGTTTTTGAGAATGTTTATACTAGATCGTGATCAGAATCCTGGGCATAAGATTGATTTTGGTGGAATACATAAGGGGTAATATCAAATAAGGTAGAAATATCAATACTATAAATTTAAAAATTTAAAAATGCAGTACCGGTAGTTTCTTCTGTATATTTTAGCTTCGGCTGTCAAACATATCGCAGTAAATGCCTTCCCCAAAGATATGATAAATACACAAATCTGAACAATATTTATAAAATAGTTTTCAAAATAAATTGAATATCACAAGACTTCAACTGATCATGAAATCATTTGAATGAATCTATGAATGAACAAATGAATGAAATAAGTGAGTGAAAAAATGAATGATCGATTGCTTGGATTAATAATTTTACACAAATTACTTGAGAAAAAGGATGTTTTGACTCTGCTTTGCACAGGACTAGCACTTACCTGAATCTCTGCATAAGAACTCTTAAAATGCTTGAAGCTATGACAGAACCATTTAGGAAGAATATCCACTAAACAAGATTCCTGAATTGAAAAAACAAAATGTATTATAATTTTATTTTTTTTACAGACAGGTTCTGCAGATCTCATGTTGGTAGCACAGAATCATTACAGCCGGTCTGTACTGTCAAGATAACTTTTCCATGAGATTTTCTACTAATGCACTCATGCAGGTTTGACCAGTGACATTGAGACCAATTATAACCGATTATAAAATGAAATACTGAATTCTAGAGCATAAATTGCCATACATGTAATATACTATCAATGATGCTGCATTTACGGTATTATATTCATATTTTTTAAGCATCGCTATAATTTGTTAACACTTTATCTGATTACTTTGTGTTAGTTCTCCTCTTCAGCCTATCTATCTGTCCTACTCTTTATCTGTCCCTATGATTGTCTAGTCTCCTCTCCAGTTTCTCTTTCTCTTTATTGCCTTGTGACTCTTGTCAGTCCTCCTAATCTTCTACTGCGTTTATCTTATTGCCTTCTGTTACTCATTCTCCTTTTATAATCCTCTAGTCATCCGTTTCAGTCTCTTCTCTGGTTTCTCTATCTTTCATTTTATCTCCTTGATTATTCATTACGAATTGCCAATCATATTTTGTAATCTGATGTAAACATAATTGTATCTTACCAAATTAAAATTTTAAGGTTATGCATTCGTATGTGGGCAATTCCACGGTAACGGAAGGACACTCAGACAAGATTTTTGAACTTCAGGTTCATACTAAAAGAACTGTTTTATTAGTATGTATTAAACTATGGGGAACAAAATGTGTTTCAGTCAAGTGGAAAGCTTCATCAACTTCACAGAGTTTGGAAAAAACTAATTAACTGGAAAAACCATGTCCATTTTTATGTCCTTCTGTTACCGAGATAATTAATATGCACATTCTTAAACTACTTAACTATAATGACAATTTTTTTGGGGAGAATTAAAGGCACTTATATAGGTATTATATCTGTACTGTTTCACATCTTATACTAATAAAACAGTTCTTTTAGTATGAACCTGAAGTTCAAAAATCTTGTCTGAGCGTCCTTCCGTTACCGTGGAATTGCCCATGTATCAATCTTTTGTAAATTCAATTTGTTTCGGCCTCTGGCTGCTATTTTGAATGTATGTTTTTATCAATAAACCATATCAAAACCCCACCCCCAAGCCTAATCAATAAAATTTGCAGTGGGTCTATAGAACACAGGGCTGTTTTGGATAGATGCACACCCATCGCCCCCCCCCCCCCCCCCCCACCCCCTGCCAATGTTTTTCATTTTCTTGATATGCTGCTGTCTACCGGCATTAAAAATACACATCTATCCTACAAAGTAAATAAATCCTCCATTACCTTTCCATGCTTTGCATCAGCTCCAGAAAAAAGTGGAAACTTTCTGAGATGCATCCGACTCTCGTTGTCAAGACAACCGTCTCTGATGAGCTGATAGCCAGGCATGACTGGCTGATGGTTGAAATCCCCACACATGATGCAGGGGCCATCTTGTGTTGAGAACTCGTCAAGTCTTTGAAGAGCTAAAGCTGCCTGGAACAATGAAACAGATCAAAGAATAAACAGTCAAACCTGCTTTAGTGACCACCTGTCAACAAAGACCACATTTTTGGTTTCCCATGAAAATGGTTTCTCATTGAAACATGTACTAAAGGAACCCATCTACAAAGACTACTTTTTGTGTTTCCCTTGGGTGGTCGCTATAGACAGGTTTGACTGTACATCACTTCAGATCAAAATTAGTCACCGATGTGATAACTGACAAGCCCTTATCCTATATTGTCGAAGAAATGAAACCCAGAACAAAATTGTAGATCAGTGATAAAGTACTGCAGGCGGATAACTAAAGACAAACAGTTGAAGGTCGACCCCTACCCTTGACAAGAAGTTACTTTTGTGGAATTAAGTAAGAAAGGATTGTTTCTTCTTCTTCCTCTCAATAAACAAATGAGAGGAACAAGCAAAGAAATGTCTTAGAAAAAAAATCTGAGCAGGTTAATTCAGTTGAGATCACAAATATTGGAATCAAATTTTCTAACAATACAGATTTAGCTTGAAATGCTAAAAAATGTAGATATTAAAAGACATTATACTAGATTTAATCACAATAACTTCCATGTTAATATGTGAGGTAGTCCTTATATTCCAAGTTTGTAGTCATAAATAGAGGGTGAATCACTTCCTAAAAAGCAAGTTAGAACTCAACAAATTACTTGCTCCAAATAATATCAATCTATCCATTTTAACATACCTGCAATGTATTGAGATCAGGTACTATGTGGGTCTGCCATACCAGGTGAACGTTAGCTACGGTGAGAGGCCGCCCAGTCTTCAGGCAAGTGAACGATGTAAGCAAGATTGGCGTCTCATATTCGGCACGACTCTTAATAGCTTCACGTAGATCAGCATCAATCTGCTCTCCAACCAGTTTCTTTAAAAACAGTAATGTGAGTGAAAATTCGAAATCAAAACCTACATAATTTCTTGATTTCATTATCGATGTGCTACTTAATAATTTTCTTTTGCTATATCTTATTTCCGTAACTGAATTGTCAGTTTGTCAAGGATAAAATTACTTCATATTAACCCTGTCAGTTGGGGCTTTGATCGGATCGGAAGATTGGAGCAACACCCTCGCACCTGTGATCGGTATCGGCAAAAAGTATCAGCAATTTTTTTCTTTTTTGGGGGGAGCTTAAATCTGGGGTACAGTCAATTGGATGAAGTGACCACTCCCTGGTGTATGTAAACATTTTAATCCACGTACAGAACTCTCACTTTATGCGAATGATACAGCTGTATTTAATTCAGGTTTCGATGTCAAGATAGTGCAGAGTAAGAGTAAGCTTTTATTTTCTGTTCCTACCTCAGCTATCCAATCTTTAAAGTGACCAGTCTCCTGCTTCTCAATCCTGAACCTCTCTGACCGGTAGAAGGTGGCCACGCCCTCTCGTATTCCTAAAGCCTTTTGATGATGGACGCCATGGTATCCTAACTTTTGAAGTTCTGGAAGTAAGGTCTGGTGGTAATAATCGGTCTCTACCTTGAAGAAAAACAAGAAAAAAGAAAGCAATAGAGAGCACTATTAGTAAACATCGAAGAAAAATAAGAACAAATAAAGCGATAGCAAGCACTATTAGAAAACATTACCAAGGATGGAAATCGGATACACATATTTGAATAATTAGTGGATACATTAGTGCATGTACACTCCCCAACCAGCAATACCCAGTGATGTATATAAAATATGCATGCCTTTGAATAGTACAGCATCAAATTTTACAGACTCCAAATGGCTGCTAGAACTGTTTCCTTGACTGTCCAGTTGTGATTTCAAAATTCAGAGCCTTTAAGATAGAAACACACACTATGATAGAGAAACTTCCATTGGTTGGGGTAATCCTAACATGTAAATTCTACCAACCTTAAAAATATAGTAGCAAGCTTATGTCTACTCTTGTGGTCTTTCTCAAGCCAAGTGACTATTCTGTATTCAAACACTCTCCTTAATCTGCCTAGAGATCACTGGAGTAAAGATATGTGACAATGACATAGACATTCAGTGAAGGGTTAATCCTCTTTATCATGATGGGTTCTTTCATCAAGATCACTGGACCGAAGATACATTGTAGGTGACAATAACAGAGTCATTCAGTGAAGGATTAATCCTTTTTATCATGATAGATTCTTTCACATTACTTGACCAGAAGGTCAAGATCACTGGACCGAAGATACATTGTAGATGACAATGACTGGAACATTCATTGAAGTATTAATCCTTTTTATCATGATAGATTCTTTCACATTACTTGACCAGAAGGTCATTCCACGCTCAAGATCACTGGAGCGAAGATAACATTTTAGATAACAATGACAGAAACATTATTTGAAGGATTAATCCTTTTATTCCAGGTGGATTCTTTCACCTTGTTTGACCAGAAGGGCTTTCAAGCTCAATAATGAGGAAATCATCCCATCAAATTGTAAGTCCAGTGATTTGCTAATAACATGGTGAGATGGAATGCTCAATCTGAGGAATCTGTTTTTGCTCTTTTAAAATTCTATGGGATGATGGCCACATGAGTTTGAATTTTGAAAGGCCCTCCTGGTCAAGAAAGGTCAAAGAATCCACCTGGATAAAAAGGATCAAGCCTTTCCTGAATAGGGACTCGGACTATTGATTGTCACCTTTCTTTGCTCCAGTAAACTTGAGGCAGCAGAAAACAAAAAATTGTGTGATTTATCAAAAGTATCATATCACTGGGGTGAACAAAATCTTACTTACTCAATTTTAAGGTTGCTGGTAGAAGCTTAAACTAAACAAAACACAGCAAAGGTTGGATTTGAGATTTGGTTTTCATACTATTCAATATGTTGCCGATCAGATAAACAGAATAGCGATTCTTAATTTTTTCTCTTTTTCTCTTTCTTTTCTCCTTTTCTTCCATCTTTCTCTCTTTCTCGTCCCCCTTTATTTATTTATGCTGCCGAAGGAGAGGGTGGGGGGGGGGGGGGCGACCATTTTGGTTAGACCTAATCTGGATCTGCCACTGTTTTTAAATGATACAAGAGAAACAAATTTCACTTTCTCAGTATTTCTTAACTTTCTTTTGATTGTCATTGTTTTGTCTTCAATTTCCTTTAAAAAATCATTGACACTTTCAAAATTCTGTATTTTCCTTTAAATTGGCATACCCTGCAGTCTGGACTTTGAAAAGCCCTGCCCTACATGTAGGCATAGACGATCTTTAAGTTGTCAGAAGTTTAAAGATATTCACCCTTTATTTGAGTTACAGGCATTGCTTAATTAATGAAAACCTCTGAAAAGAAACATGCACAGAGTTGAATACACAATCAGTGAGCTATATTATAAGGTAGGTGTACCTCTTGCAAGCACACGATGTCTGCATCATCATGGTGACGAAGTTCAACCATCAACTGGGGATGCCTCTCCAACGTCTCCCGGAATCCTGTCGGACAGAACGGGTATCCTCTGGGCTTGATGTGGATGGCTGCCAAGATGTTGTACGAGATCACTGTGACTGCATCATCTCCAGTTCCTGCAATGGAGGATGCTGATGAAGCCTTCCATTCTCGTTGGCAGCTTGGCAGCTCTTGGTTTGATGACGACATGGTGTGACGTGTCAATGGATGTAGGCCTTCTTGTTACTATTTCAAGCTGCAAATTAAGTGAGGGGAATGACAGAGAATTTATAATACACAATTTCTCAGAGAATTCACACCAAACTGCTGCACAATACAGTTGCATACCTTTCCGAATGTGGGGTGCGGGCACGCGTGTGTGAAGTTAGCAATTACCGTAACGATGAATTTAATGGATCTGAGATTATTACAGACAGTTGATAACTTCAGTCGCGCCCACAGATCACCCTCGGTACACTATACAGTATGCAATTGTATTGTGCAGCAGTTTGCCGTGAAACCTGTGAGAAAGTGTAGATTGTGCCCGGCCCCCCCACTCAAAGGTCGGAATGACCGCATGCGTGTTGCCAAAATGTCCGGTAAAGGGGTATTTTTCGTGCGACAAAGTCCGGCCCGAGAATTGTACAAAAAGGGGTGTATTTGACTTTCCACCCTGAGATTTCTTTAAAAAGAGGGTGTTTTTCTTTTTTTTCTCTCATCTCTTTGGACTCCTGAGAAATTATTCCGAATTCAGGGGGGTACATTGAGCATTTTTCCTGATTTAGGGGGGTCTCCGAGGCAGGAAAAGCCTGCGAAAAGCCCGCAAAAGGGGGTTTGGAAATGTTGGCAGTCCTCAGATAGGGGGTGCTTTCAAAAAGAGGGTACGAGCATATGCGTACCCTAAATAACACTGAGTGGGGGGGCCGGGAGATTGTGTCACGTTTTGGGGGAAAATTACTTCAAAAAAGATGAGAAAATTGACATGAAACGGGTAAAAAACTTAAGCCTGACTTTCAAATCATCATGACCATCATTTGAACAATTGATGAAGATTTAGTTGATTTTTGGTATGTTTTAGTCCTTACGGCGGAGATATGGGTCAAAGTATGGAGTTGATTCTGAATTAGCGCCAGTTAATTTGCCAGAATAGTTTTAGCCCAAGGTTAAGTTCAAGGTTCATTTTATTTCTTTCTTTCACAACATTTTTACATATAATAATAGAACAAAAAACAGCATAAGAAAAAACAATTTAACTCTTTGTTTGCTTTGTTCGCCGATTTGCACGGACGTAGGCGTGCCAACTTCGCATTTTTGCACAGATGTATACGAGTCAATTCTCGCTACCCTAAATAGGTACGAAAATCTCGAAATTCGCGAGACGAGGTAATTTTCACTCTCTCGGGTCGTCACTACAACTTCCGGTATAGAGTCCCATCCCGCTGGCGCTAGCGCCTGTGTTCGCTGTGCAGAGTTTTCACGCACGCTAAAATCGATGCCAATCAGTGTAATTTGTACAGATTATAATATGCAATGGAAAGCTTCGGGCAGAATTAGTGACTTTAGCACAAAAGGCCGTTAAACTCTACCGTGAAAGAGAGGGTTGTGATCACGAACGCCTGCACAGGAAGCTGTAATGTCGAAAAGCTATCCCATAATGCAATGCGCGTTTTCAGGATTTTCCCCGGATCTCGGCAGAATCGCTATTTGGGGTAGCGAGAATTAGACATTCATAATACCGCTCGCAGTGTGTAGCCACGCGTTGCGTTTACTATTGTTTACATTGTATACATCGCACACTTTCCGGTAAACTGTTTTTCTTCATAGTGTTACATTCGAAATTACCGTGTATTTAGCGGTTTTCTTTGGATTTTTTTTACTGATGTTACGATGGCACCTGCTGGAAAACGTCAACGTGTGTTTAGTGTAGAGGAGGCTCGAGATCTTGTTACTATGGAAGCATGGAGCATGGACTCTGATTCCGACGAATCGAGCAGTGACGAAGACTCTAGTGATAAAAGTGTTCCCTGAGAGTAGACTGATAGAATAAGAATGAATAAAAATTAATGAAAGAGCTAGAGATGACAGCAAGAAAGAGAGTAGACTGATAGAATAAGAATGAATAAAAAAAATGAAAGAAGGAGATAGAGATGACAGCAAGAAAGAGAGTAGACAGTGATAGAATAAGAATGAATAAAAATAATGAAAGAAAGAGATAGAGATGACAGCAAGAAAGAGAGTAGACTGATAGAATAAGAATGAATAAAAATTAATGAAAGAGCTAGAAATGACAGCAAGAAAGAGAGTAGACAGTGATAGAATAAGAATGAATAAAACTAATGAAAGAAAGATGTATCCTGTCTTGCCGTCATCTTTATATCTTTCTTTTATTATCTTTATTCATTCTTATGCTATCAGTGTTTACTCTCTTTCTTTCCGTCATCTCTATCTTATTATTATTATCATTTTCCTATCTATATGTACCCTATGTCTTGCCGTCATCTGTATATCTTTTTCTTATTATCTTTATTCATTATTATGCTATGAGTGTAATACTCTCTTTCTTGCCGTCATCTCTATCTCATTATTATTATCATTTTCCTATCTATATGTACCCTATGTCTTGCCGTCATCTCTATATCTTTCTCTTATTATCTTTATTCATTCTTATGCTATCAGTGTTTACTCTCTTTCTTTCCGTCATCTCTATCTTATTATTATTATCATTTTCCTATCTATAATTATGTACCCTATGTCTTGCCGTCATCTCTATATCTTTCTCTTATTATCTTTATTCATTCTTATGCTATCAGTGTTTACTCTCTTTCTTGCCGTCATCTCTATCTTATTATTATTATCATTTTCCTATCTATATGTACCCTATGTCTTGCCGTCATCTGTATATCTTTCTCTTATTATCTTTATTCATTCTTATGCTATCAGTGTTTACTCTCTTTCTTGCCGTCATCTCTATCTTATTATTATTATTATTTTCCTATCAATATGTATCCTATGTCTTGCCGTCATCTCTATATATTTCTCTTATTATCTTTATTCATTCTTGTGCTATCAGTGTTTACTCTCTTTCTTTCCGTCATCTCTATCTTTTTATTATTATCATTTTCCTATCTATATGTACCCTATGTCTTGCCGTCATCTCTATATCTTTCTCTTATTATCTTTATTCATTCTTATGCTATCAGTGTTTACTCTCTTTCTTTCCGTCATCTCTATCTTATTATTATTATCATTTTCCTATCTATATGTACCCTATGTCTTGCCGTCATCTCTATATCTTTCTCTTATTATCTTTATTCATTCTTATGCTATCAGTGTTTACTCTCTTTCTTTCCGTCATCTCTATCTCATTATTATTGTTATTTTCGTATCAATATGTATCCTGTCTTGCCGTCATCTTTATCTCTTTCTCTTATAATCTTTATTCACAGTAAAGTCCTTTCATTTCATATCACTATTTCTCTCTCATAATGTCTCTCACGTCCGTTCTCCATATTTTATTCATTGCATACTCCACTCGTCAATCATTTCTGATAATAAGCTCTCTCACAATAAAGTAAATGGAAAACAATGCAATATAGTTTATATTTTAAGATTGATTCATTCTTTCTTTGTATATCTATGGCTGTGATAAATGTACTTGAAATCAATTTTATTGAGGGGTAAAGAAGGTGAGAGAACAGATGCGGTGAACATTCATAATGAGACATTTCAATAAGATGCTGATTATGTCATGTATATCACATATAATATATTATGCCTATACCATTTTTACATGCTCATACCAGTGGGCAAAATCAATAACATTCTCTTATTTCTTATTGACTTATCATGGCACAACAAAGAAAAACATCCCCACGACGTCCCTTTTCATGCCCCGCTAAACCGGACATTGACAATAACCTGGGGTAATAGGGATTTCAATGGGCAGATTAGCCCATTGTCAAGGGTGGCTGAGCGGGGTACTTTCAAGTCTCTCCCTATTGAACTTCTTTTCTTCAACAACCTAAATACTAACCTTCTGAATTGTTAGAATACTTGAGCAAGGTATGTAAAGAAAGGTAAGAAGTCCACCTTTCTAATAGATTCGATTTGAAGATGTCTTATCATTGCTAAATAAGAAATTCTAGAGGGATAAAAAACTGCCGTAAATAAGAAAAATTAAACATTATATAATTATGATTATTATAAAAATGATAATTCAAAATATAACAAATGACGGTTCATCGAAAAGCACGTTTTCCGGTCTACAACTTTGCTGCACAATATTTTTCATCATGATCATCCAGTGAAGAGTTATAGCCTCTTGATTCAGCAGAGTCAATAAAGATTCCCTCGAAATGTGTGACCCTAAAAGAATGTGGCACAGGGGGGTTTTTTAAGTGGCGCATAAAGAGTTAAGTGCAATTTTAAGTCAATATATAATCCAAATGAAAGAAAGTGGAGACCTTAGAAAAGCTGGGCTTGTAATTAAGAGCAAGGTCCCCAAACATAATCCGGAACAATTGCAGAATACCCTACCACGGTTTTACAGAATTAGAACTATAACAGTCTGACAAATATTAGAAATATAGTCTAGAACTAGAGTCTAGGTCTAGAAGCCAAATTCCAACAACCATCGACCAACAGTCTGACAAATATATTAGAAATTGAAACCAACGACCATCGACCAAATACTATTGAATGGAAGAGTCCAACGACCATCGACCAACAGTCTGACAAATATTAGAAAAAGAAACCAACGACCATCGACCAAATAGTGAGGCATATTTGTTTAAAAGAGCCAACGACCAACGACCATCGACCAAGGACTCCCAAATATTAAAAAAGAGGCCAACGACCAACGACCATCGACCAAGGACTCCCAAATATTAAAAATGAGGCCAACGACCAACGACCATCGACCACCCACCAATACTAGTCTAGTCTAAGCACAAAGCTAATTTTTTCTTTTGTATTTTTAGCATGAGACATTCCACTATTATAAGCACAAAACTATTATTTTTCTTTTGTATTTTTAGAACGAGACATCACTTGTTGATTAAAAAAGCACAACACTATTATTTTTCTTTTGTATTTTTAGAACGAGACATTACTTGTTGATTAAAATATCTAATGGGGTCTTAGAAAGCAGACTAGCAGTGTAAGAGAGGGCACAAGGTACAAACAAATACGTGTGTGGGACTATGTACGGGCTGGACATTTTGTGTTACTGAAATGTGCTTAGAATACAAGTAATTCATCTATTAAATGACTATAACAGACAATAAACAAGACAAAGGTAAGGACAAGAATCAGTGCTTATCAATATAACAGACATTTTGCATGAAATACCATCAGGAAAGCCATCTAAATTTGTCACAAATTAGCGACAAACACACCAAATTCAGCGCTGCAATGACGCACAAAACCGCGTAGAAATCAACTTTTCATCCACCAAATGAATTCAAACACTTGCATTATACAATCTTCAATACTTGTATCACCTTTATCACAAATAATAAAATCACAATCTATATCTACGGCTAATATATGAAGACTAACGATATGGTAGGGTATTCTGCAATTAAGCCCATAATCCATCAATGTTTCACTTCTAAAAATGTTTCAATCAAAGTTATCAAAACTACACATGATTAAATATGGGGGAAATATTTACAAAAGGGATAGCTTATTATTAGGCCAGAAATAACCGTCTGGTAAAATAGGTATGGGTCATTCTTGTTTAATAAAACTGACATTTGTCGACAGATTAGAGGAGCTAGATGCAATCTCAGCGGAACAACCGTCGATATGCTCAATGATACGGATCGCCAGGGCCGGGCTGCGCGTTTCCGTTTTACACCCTGCCCTAGGCTTTTCGGCAAGAAATTACACGAAACATGCTGTATCCGAAGTCTAAGTTTGTTTATATCGACGTCAAGAATATAGCGGTGAAGACGGTTTTCCCGATATATTATTGTTTTGTTATCGCTGGGCTAAATTTTGCGAGCTGATCACGCATCCTCACGCTCTTAGAGTATTGCGTATTAATGGATAAAAATAAATGATACGACTAGGAAGATCAACTAGTATAGAGAGTTAGCTAGCGGGGCTAGCGCTACGTGACGTTTTCAGAGTTCTGGTGGTGTGCAGAGCGTCGAGTCGACGTACGGAGACTCGGTCGCTCACATATCCTCGCGCGCCGAGGCAAGATGTGGACGACTAGACTCCGAATACCAGTCGGTTTGTAAAATTTTATTGGAGAAAAGCCTAGGGCAGGGTGTAAAACGGAAACGCGCGGCCGGGCTTTAGCGTCCGCGTGCGGACACATCACACCATCGCATCAGACATCCAACACGCAACAGTCACTGCATGCTGCACAGACCACATTTTCACTCACACTCAGCTCAGTCCATTAATAAGTATATATCTCTAGGCCTATGGCTCAGTCACATAATAAAGCCGGACTGCATTTACGGCTATAATTCTCATAAAATACAGATCATGCAAAGATTATAAGCATCAGAAAAATAACTAACAGTAGACTATAGGATCTCGAAATTTTCGATGAAAATACTTACAGTAATACCGATAACTGGGCTTTTAAAACGAAAAATCCGTCACACAAACGCCGCGCCAACAAAACAATTAACTTCCGGTATACCACACGTGAAGTTGTGGGCGTGGCCACCGATTCCAGGCATGTCGAACAGCGCCCCCCCCCCCCCCCCGGAGTCGGGGGTCGGGGGTCGGGGGTCAGGGGGGGGTCGGGGGTCGGGGGTCGAGGGGGGGGGGGGTCGGGGGTCGGGGGTCGGGGGTCGGGGGCTGGAATTACTAGGTGGACGAAATATGAGCCATGAAATGAGGAATGGGTGTGGCCTGTGCATGGGTGAGTTCTGATCATCATCTTTTCACATTGCTTTTCCATATAACTCTTTGCTTTTCTCTCTTTTTCCCCCTCACAATATATAGGGGGGGGGGCATGTACCCGTCCCAGTGTTTATACCACTGTACAACAATACATTTCAATCAATATACAAAATCTAAAATAAGGAAAGAGAACCACAAGTATAGTTATTAAATGAAACATTAAAATATAGATTTATTTATCCATCGCCCTCAAAAAAAAAAAATTAAAAAAAATTGAATGACCTTATCATTTGGAACATTTACATTATAGGCAGAATTTCACTCTTCATTTGAAAAATGAAGGAAACTGTTGAAAGCAAATAAAGGATGGCCTTATATATTGTGATACTGAGTAGATAAAAAGCCTATTTTTCATACAATGGAAAATATGAAAAAAATATGTAGATAATACATAAAACAATAAATAAATGACATATAATAAACAGTTCTTTCACATGTTTTGCATACCTTTTCTGTCACAAATTTAAGGCTAGCATCTTCCTATAATTTACATTTATGATTCCTGATGAGTTATAATCATATATAGGCAAGATGTATGCGAGCATAATTCTGTATGATCAGAAAATGCAGATTTACTTTAATTATTACCGATCAAATACCAAAATGACTAAATACTTTAAATGTTATCCATTAAAAATTAAGTCTTTATATGTCTCACCTAACCCACCAAACTGATGCCAAAGCAATACATCAAATAGAAAGTTCATGAATTCCTACCCTGGTTAATGCTCACAAGTCCTGAAAATTTGCAAGGAACCTCATTTGGTAAATTATTGTCACTCTCATACACAAATGCTACCCACCCGTGTCCTTCAACATCTGAAATGTACCCTAATGGCGTATCACAGAAAACGTCGAAACTTGTGCTCCTGAAAAGGTACCCTTTTTTGTTTTTTGTGCGATCAGTGCTTGAAAAACACCCTTTATTAAGGAAAAAGTAGATGATGCTGAACCTGTGAATCTGGAAAGGTACCCTTTTTTATTTTTTGTGCAATCAGTGCTTGAAAAGCACCCTTTTTTAAGGAAAACGTTGACGCCGCAGTATAGCTGAAAAAGACACCCTTTCGCCGCTTTTTCTGGACGCGGGTGCGTAGCCATTCATGTTGGGAGTGACCCCCTGCATGGGAACACATTGGCACCCAGTACTCAGATAAAGATCGTGTGGTGGATCTTGTAATAAAAAACAAGTTAGACAAAATCTTGGAACCAGACTCATTCTGGCATATAAATATTCATCGGTCCGCAATTAGGACAATTACTGAGTGTATAATTACTCAAATAATTACTCACTCTCTACAAATGCCTACATTCCAAATCAAAATTGTACAATACTATACTTGTAACATACCAGTATATGAAACAGTAATACAAAGGGAAAGAAACTAGATCAAAAAGATTTTAAAAATTGTTCACATGAAAGTCTCAATTTTCTATGAAATGAATTTCCTACCTACATAATTTATGTAGTTGTACCCTTATTCCTTTACCAGAAATTCTATTGACTTTAAAGTATCATGATACATGTACATGATTAGCTGATTTATTACGGCTCACAATTATAAAACAGATGTGAGATGATGGTATTTTCAGTTCTCACAGTATTTACAAAAATATTTCCAATTTTTTTGAAAAAGAGGTTTATTATCAAATCGACTTGATATAGGATTAAGGCAAAGTCTGCTGGCTAGAAGTGACATATAAATACATGAACAAATTGTGCGTGTAGGTTTTAATCCAACATACGTTCAAATACAAAATTGTAAGGCTGGTACCATATATTTATGTTGCAGAAAGAAAAAATGATCCAAAGTATATTTTACCTTTTTCCATGCTCAATGCAGTGGAAATACACAAGTTTACATAATAATATGATGAACAACATGATGCATGTACGTAGCTTATTATATTATTTTTTGTCAATATAATATTACCTGATAGCAAGAAATACAACAATGCATTTTCTTTTACTTTGAAGTATATTTATCACATGATATATTTTCTTTCATTCAATATCACACATGACAGCTTTGATCAATAACACATATGGCATTACATATCACAAAATCTTTGGTCAGAGAAAAACTTAATGATAAATAAAATAAAATTTCTCACATGATGTCATCTAACTCTATCAATAACATTCATAATATTCAGCATAGAATTATTTATGATCAATATAAAAAATAACAGCACACAAAACATTACCTTTGGTGAGTTTGGTCAATGGCATATCCGGTTGTCAAGAAAGTATTATACTTGGTCAATATACCCAAGAACAAATGCTAAAAAAATGTCAATGTAACTTTACAATTCACACAAAGAATATAACTAGTCGATATACTGATGATATCCGAATTACGTTCATATCTAGACAGAATAAACAAACACAAATCTAAAATGGACATAGGCCATTTAATTTCTTAAAGCCTCCTTATTTAATAATTATAAAGCCTTTCTGGAGAGATGCAAGGGTATCTCTCAATCTATCAAGAAAGAAGGAGATATAATACTAATAATATAATAATATTAATGAAACTAATAATAATAATAATCAGAACAAAGAAAAGAAACATTTTCAGAAAAATGTTGTAGTTTCCTGGCAGTTATAAGCTCTGCTGATTCCACCTGAAATGAGCACATATGACCCGTAGAACTTTGCATTTATTTGAAGGATAGTAAGGAGCAAGTATAAACCATAATTACTTTACTATTCTACTATACAGATCTCAATAGCAAATCTTGGTTTTGCTGGAAGGCACTTGCCATCCCTCCCCCTGGTTCACTGATAGAGAAAAAAACTTCATCTTTTTTAGAAGAGCCTGAAATTCATTGTAAAACCTTGGGTTTTTCTCATTCTTAATATGTTAATCTTACTGTACATCTGATCATGTCAGACAACAAATCAAGTGAAGCACCATTGATACTTATAATTATACAGGAAATATTACATAACATCAGGAAACAGTCCGACCACAGACTATGGTGATTCATTAAAGTACAGGAAACACATAATCTGTGCTTTTCGTCCACAGATAAAAGGCTAGTCTATTTTTATTTCATTATAAATGTGCAAATTTGATGCAAATTAGCAAGTTGATTGCAACATTGATTCACTGTTTCATAATTGTATTTTGCTTAATAGAAATAACAGTAATAATTAGTATCAATGAAGGCACATACAACTACCGGTTTTGTTCTAAAGTATATTTGCAGAGGTTTTTTTTGGGGGGGGGGGGCAACACACATTTTGTATATTACGATGGAGTACTTCATCAATTTTTGGTATGATACGTGTTAAATTTGACATCAATATAATATACTCATCGACATCAATATCTGATCAATTCTTTCCACCATGAAAAAATACATCTTCATATAATATCATGCATAGTACAGAGTTGACTGGCAAAGAGGTATGAACAATAATCAACAATTACACAGACCCATTTTAAAGTGAAAGTCGGTATTTTGTACACCTTAGATATTTTCAGCCGTCCAATCATACTGGACATTGCCAAACAATTTTGACATAGTAATGAACAACTACTCTTAAAACTAGGCCTGTAACCGATCATTGGATCAGGGGCCGATATTGAGCCGATCAGGTGAGATCGGATAATAATTTCCGATCGCCGATCAATAAAAATGATTGGCAATTTTTTATTTTGTTTAATGCCGAAAAATGTCAAGTGTTTGGCTATCAAATGCTTTTAAAAAATGCGTAGCTGGGATTATTTTATCATTTGGAGTTATTGTAGACCATGTTGGTTGATATTTAGTATCTTTTCATGACTTTGAAATTAATAATATTGGTCTAAGCAGGAGGCAAAACATGCGGGACGCCATCTTAGATCTATAATGCATGCCTAAATTATAATCCAAAATACCGATCACAGGTGCGAGGGTGTCGCTCCAATCTTCCGATCCGATCAAAGCCCCAACTTACAGGGTTACTTACAACTACTCTTATTCAAGCAAGAATATTTTCAATAATTTTAGTAATAATTCAGCCAATTCATTGGAGCAACTTTGCCATGCCACTAGCACAAAACAAACATATTTTGTCTTTGAGAAGAAGAAAAAATATGTTTTTTCCACCAGCACTAGCGAAAAGTGACTTACAGTTACATACAATAAATATATAAGAAAGAAATTTAGCACCAGGAATGTAGTCCTTGTAGTGTTGTTCCCCGAAGGCCTGTATAAGTCCAAGTACAGATATCTAATCCTGTTGGAAAACAAAATCCAGGCCAGATCCAGCCATCTTCTCCTTGTAGACCGCATCAAAGCGTTCGTTCTGTTCATCACCGAAGAAATTCATCCAGTCACCAACAACACCTGAAAAATAAAATGGTAAGTTCATGATAATGGTTCTTGATCTTGGGTCATGATCCAAATAGAGATTATTAGAGGGAGGGTATTAGAAAGGAAATACATGTGACATTAACTTAAATTACATCATTTGTTGATGGCCTCAAATATTATTTTAACAGTTTTCTGACACTGACACTGGCATTTGAGTTCATAATGAATAAAATATTTCTTTATTGCATTCTTTTATGCTCTAGACTCCTATTTTTATGACACTTGCTATATCAACATTTGCTACAGCACAGTCAACTTCCTACATTAATCAAATTCTTAACTTCAATGCTGGATCAAACACTATATTTTAACCTAACCCTAACCCTAAACATAACCTAAAACTGAACCCATTGCCTAATGGAATTGCATGAGTGGCCCCTATATTAAAGGGATCGGGTAACTTTGTCTCAGATTCTAAAAACAAAATTCTGAATTTAGCTCATGAGGCAATGATAATTATAAACCTTTAGGTCAGTCAGGAACCCCATGACTTTTACAAGCCGATCGCCTGTCTAATTATCAAGATATTTATGATTGGAATTACAAATTTTGAAAATTGTTTGCCAAACAGTTTTCATAACACTACAGTCTATTGGGGAAAACGATTATGGTAAAACCGGTCACTCAAAGATTTTTACTTTTTTAAGGCACTTCTTGATCATTTTGAAGCGCAATTTTTTTAAGGGCTTCAATATTACACCATATCACAGACACTGAAAACACATAGGGCCGTGTATCTTAGATTTAATATTGTTAAACGATCCCTTTAAGCCTATGGAAATGAATGAATTCAGTAGTCAATGGGTAAATTTCAACCTGTATCCTTGATGAAATAAAGCCAAGAGCAAATGTCACTTGAGAAATGGTGCTAGAGCAGAAATCTGGGGAGAGCGTGTCAGATCTGATCAGATCAGATCAGGTTGATCACAATTAACCTCACCTTTCCTCAAGAATGTCTTCTTCTTACTAGCATCAGCCTGAAGCTGGGGTAGACTATCAGGATTGGAGTTCCTGTTCTTCTTCATGGCGTCAAATGTACTACTCTCTACGATGCTCTCGATGGTTTCGTCAGACAAAGACTTGCACATGAACTCACTGATCTGCTTGACTGCTCCCTTTAAACTCTGTCATTTGGTTACAAAAGTGTATTGATTTTAGAGTCACAGCAAATAAAACAAAGAACAAAATTGTCCTACAAATCTACAATGCAGTAAAAATTATGACAACAGAAAAAACTGTAACTGACATAAGAATATCAATTAATTCAAAATGTGCATCTTGAACATTTACAGGACCACAAAGTTTACAAATGTATCACAAATTACATATTATTAGGTAATTTTTTTTCAAGCAATGCCTATTCTTTGTTGCTCCTCTTTATTTAAGATTATTTTGTAAGATCCAACTTGACAATTCATGGACCCCTTTACTTGACAAGTTTTACTTTTAAAAAATATATAAAAATCTGGATACTAGATAAAAACAGAAGAAGATCACAGGGGTTAAAATCAATATAACGGTAGTTTAATTTCAATTTAGAGTAAATCAACAAACTCCTCCACATTGAGAATTTTGAAGATGACAAAACCTCAGTCCACATATTTTCTTAATAATGGGGCATTTTGATCTCTTTCGACAGATACACAAATACTCTGATTTGTTACAAAAGCATCTTGAATTCTAATACGATTCATCCAAAAAAATTAAAAAATATCAGCTGAAATCAATAAAAATGGCATGGACTCAATTAGAAGTAAAAATGACAAGCATTAAGATCCTTCTTTGACTTTTTTTTTTTTGGGGGGGGGGGAAAGGGGTGGGGTGCATGTTCTTACCTTTTTCATATCTTCAAATTTAAGGAAGAGCACTGTTGGATCATCCTTCCTCTTCCACCAGTAAAGTACGCTATCAAACCAGGAACCTCTTGGTACTGTAGAAAGAAAAAAAAAATTTAATGGGTTATTAAAAAAAAAAATTGATTGCTATTTTTCCCATCATCTTCATCATCATCACCAACATCATCATTGTTATCATTATAACTATCATTATTATTTCATTATTATTGTTATTTATATCATTATTAATGTTGTTCTTGAAAATTGTACAACAGCTGATCAGTTAACCAAGAGAAAAAGAGGGAAATCAAGCTTAACATCCTAACCACATCTTGAGCTATGCAGTGATGGTTCAGTGAATGTACATTTCCAGCAAGTTTAGTCCAATTGCTTACATTTTGCTGATCGAAAACACAGGTATACCACATATTAAACAGATTCAGGATCAATTGAAGCCAGTTTCTCTCAAATTCAATTTCATTACCAGAACTAAACATTAGCATTAAAAGCTGGTTCACATATATGCTCCGGAAAACCATGGCAGTTTGCCATGGGTGTTAAGTGTAAGTTCACTTCGAAGCGTACTGTAGTTCTTATAACACACACAGCTACATGTAGGTAAATGCTTAGGACTTTTTGGGGGGCATGCAGCTACTTTGTTCAATCCTACTTGCCACTCATTTAGTACACACACTAAAAATGTGGGAGTAAACGGTAGCGGTTTACTGTAGCATATGTGAACGAATGAGAATCAAGAAAGATTTGAAAGATCACCTCTATCGGCCATGAATTCTTCGAAGAAGACATCCCAGGAGTCATAGGTCGGTAGATTGGCGGTTATCTTACAGAAGTGAAAGTAGGACACCATCATGTCTTTGGGATTCCTGGCGATGTAAATGACCTTGCCCTTTGACCCGTCGTGGATGCTCGCAGGGAGCAAGCGAGGTGGGAGCTGAGTCTTCAGGATCCTCGGCGACGGTTTCTCTTCTGCGACCTCGGACTGCATGCGTGCGGTGTCGGCCTTTACCAGAAGAAAGTAATATATAAATAACAATGTCCATGATAATGAAAAAGTTTGCAATGCCAATAGTTGGCCATTGGTTTTGAAATCCTGCACAACCACAGATAATTTAGTATTATCTCTATGCAAGTGAATGTATAAGGGAAGTTAAAAAAGGATAAGGTATATGACATCAATATATCTTTGCGTGTTCTCTTTCTATTAACCAACAATAAAATAAAGAAAAAAATCAAGAGAAATCCCAAGAGTACTGACTCTTCAATCGCAGTCTATTTTAGAAGGATTAAGTAAAAAAAAAAAATTACCTTCCCCTACCCCTAACCCAAAATGAGATAACTGCAGCCAGCACTTAACATTTGCTATTATATAAATTATGTATGATTCTTCTCATCATCAAAATGACAAGCAACATGAATGTGTTGGTATATATATACAGATCCCAAGTTCCAAACCTGAAGAAATGCAAATCAGAGGATACATTCATGTATGTGAAAAACACTGGAGCATATGGAACATTAAAAAAAAGTTGCGGGAAACCTTGTTGACCTACATTATCTTTGCTCATGCCTACAACAGCCTCTATGAATGGGACCATCGAGAAGATGTGTTTGCCTTCAAGTTTGGATTTATCACCGTCATGATGAATGAGAAGAACAATCTGCTGCACCCATGTCGTACCTGCAAGAGATGGAGGCCCGACATTTTTAGGTAGGCCATCTTTCTTAATGTAATCCATTTTAATTTTGTAAGTAGAATAAGCTATAATTTTAACAAAGACTTGTGCATTACATTTGATTACATTACGAAAAAAGGCATATTGGATGATTCCAAGGGGTATTCTAAAAATTGCACGTTTTAAAGAACAATGTACTACTCGTTATATACCTACAAGAGATAACTGCGTGGAATTATCATTTTTGAAGCAAAAAAACAAAAACATTGATATCACATTATTTCAAGTGCATTTTTGCATGTTTTTGCACAATGTTTTGTGGACTCAATACGTGAACCTGAGCTGGTCGTTCTCCTCCCCCCCCCCCCCAAAAAAAAAAAAAAATTATATGCATATATAATTATACATGATCCACCAGTGCCAAGAAGACCTACCTGATTTAGGATAAGTTGTTAGAAAGAGATCATCATCCCTGACTTTGAAGTTTTTGGCAGATTCAATGCATCTAGCTGGCATCATCTTTGGCATGATGAACCCATCATACTCGTGAGAACATTCTGCTACATATGCTGGGGCTTGAGACAGCAATGATGCTCCTTTACCAGTATCCATGGTTACAACCTGCATTGCCATGGCAATAGAGAGGACATTGGAAGTAAATACAATTTAGCACAAATCTATAAGTTTGATTCTTGGAATATCGTCCAAAAGCAAAATTGTTCTTCTTCCATCTAAAGATTATTGTAATGAATTTCTTCTTGCTCTAGTTCTCCTTCTTCTTGTGCTCTTTCTCCACCTTCTCCTTCATCAGTTTCATCATAATAATCACCATCCTCCGATTCTTTTTTTGTATTCTTGTTATTTTTCTCCTCTTTAATTCTGCTCCGCTTCCTCCTTTTTATTCTTCATCATCCTTACCTTCCTCTTCTTTTACTTCTTCTCCTTCTTCTGTTCCATATGCATGCCTGCACACAGAATCCAACCAGTACCATAACCCTTTTTTCTTTAGTTTTTCTTTGCCTTAGAAATGTTGGTAAACAAAACTACTACAATACTAATGAGAAGAAGAAAAAATCAAAACTTGCTTGGTTTTACAGGCTTGATAAATGATAGATAGGATATAATTTAGATTTGGACGTCGGACTCTTGAGAAAATTCAAAATTCTAATTTCTAATGACGTCATTACATCCGGCACAAAAAGAATATCATTGTAACAATTATCAGTCTTTGCTTCACATTATCAAATTTAAAAAAAACACAATAATATTTATTCTGAAACATTAATTTGTTTTTTATAACATCATCACATTGTTACTGTTAGTTTCTCAGACTCATGCAGTGCTGTTGTATTAAATTTCCACTGAACTTCTTTTTTTTTCTCGATCAAATCAATTTTAAAATAGAGTACAATTTGGGATCAAACAAAAAATACAGATTCTTTAATATAGACCTACACGTTTTCTCAGGAACACATTCTACAACAATGCTCACTGTAGTTTTACAATATTACATTGACATTATATGAGCAATGCAATGCCAGCCTATAGCTAGACCCTAGCCAGTGGAGTAATTCATCACACTACAGGGCGCCAGTCGCGTCGGAGCGCTAGGCATGGTCTCGCATAATCTAAGTCTAAGATGAAGGAGTGGGCCTCAAAACCAAAACAATCGACATTCAAAGTTGACAACTAGAATCATACAGTACCTTACTAATCAGTTCTAGTTCTGGGGTTGTCTCTATGCTTTGTCGACGATCCGATAGTGTAATTGAACACCCTTTGCTATTTGTAGCTCACCCTCAAAAACCGCGAAATACGCTAAATGATACCGGATATATTATTAGGAGGTATACATCCGCACCTGCATGTGGATCAGTATAGGCCCACGGAGGAGGCGCGGAGCGAGTCACCATCTCGATGAGTCACAGATACCGGCGCCCACACACTCTCCATCAAACAGGTGGTGGTATGCGGATTTGAGACCCCAACCCCCTCCCCCTTGAATCCCTTCTCTTGTTTCTCTCTCTCTCCCCCCCCCCCCCCCCCCCTCTCTCTTCTCTCTCTCTCTCTCTCTCTCTCTCTCACCACAATCCTCCTTTCGTTGATTATTTCCTCGCGAGTTTATCCAAAAAAAGAATTAAAAAATCATGATTTCCTCAGAGTATATAATCTTCATGGGTTATCCGTTCAAGATTTTTTCCTATTTATGGTGATAAAGTAATACATTTCTTGTTCTTCATGATAAAATTTATTTTTAATTAACATATCAATTCAGGTCCGATCAGAAATTTTTTCATGCAAGTATAGGCTATCTTCTTTCCAATCTTTGCTAACATTTACCTTTCTGATATTATCTATCCTAAAAAATGCTTTTCTTTTTCTATATCTGATTGAATCTCTTTGGTTTTCCATTCTTCATCTTCTACCATGTATTTGTTTTTAATCATTATAGGCCTACCAGTTAAATTTGCACGAATTTAATTTGTTCAAAAACAAAATAAGTAGCCTAAACTGTGAGTATATAAATAATACAAAAAGAGAACGTAATAATAATCACAAACTAAATATTTCACGAATATAATCATACTTGAAAGAAAACATTTACCTTCTAATTGATCAATTAGTTCATAGATATATATCCTGTCATATTGTAATGAAATTAATGATACTAAAACATTAGCCAGTATTAAGACATCAATCCTATCATAAATACATTATTTAAAACCAAATCGTCAGAAAATCCAAAGTATATTCCCATGCTATTTCTTCCCACTTTAATTTTCATATTGTGTATCTAACTTAAGTTAGTAGGCCTAACATTCTTCTATTATCGATTATTGTATAGTATTTTTTATTTTATTTCTGCAGTATGCATACATTATTTTGTATTTTCTTCACCGTAATATGTTTACTCTTTTTATAAATATATATCACAGGACCAATGAGAGGCAATCTTGAGCTTGTTGTTTTATCTTCTTTATAACATTAAAATAATGAATGATTGAATGAATAGAGGAATTGTGTGTTTAAATGTTTTTACAGGCGCATTTCAGTCAGATACGATTATTAAAGTCTGGGGACCGACCTTTATATCGTCACCATCTGATACTGGGTCCACCAGTTTGTATATAGGCGAAGACAGATAGCTGAAAGTGAACATACGCTATATAGACCAACTCACATTCACAATAAATGAATGAATGAATAAATAATACATTATTATACGTTTGAGTAATAATGAATGATAACAGTTTGAAAGCTCAGGGTCATCCTACATTACCGATAGCCCATGAAACCCAAGTAACAATTTTGCTGAGGTTCGTTATTCCGTATACTTCCGAAGTTTCGTGACTCTGAAGGTTCGTCATTCCTAAGGTTCGTGTTTACAAAAGTGAAATAGGGTTCATTATTCCAACGATTCATGATTACGAAAACGGCATACGGACCCCTATAACCGTTTTCCGCAAATACGAACCTTCCGAATAATGGACCCAATTTCAGTTACGGAATTATGATCTTTCGGATACTGACGACCCTAATAATTTTAATAACGCAACAACAAAACTTAATGTTCGGAATTATGAACCCTACTTCAGGAATTATATATTCCCTGCAGCCTCTATGAGAATAGTGTTTCGGAATTGCGAACATTCAGAATTATGCACCTGCACTAGACCCTCCCGAAATGATGATCCACAAGACTGACAAAACAGGAATATATTCTGCATGGTTACTTGTTATCTGCTCTACTACCGAGCCATTGCGCCTCCCAAAACCTGCAGTATAGGACTATAAATTTATTTAAGAAAATAAAAGAATTATCGAAACCCTTTCATGATCAGATCATAATGATGATCGTGTAATAATATTGTGTGCTACCGAGCAAATCGCCGTCTCAGATCAGAACCCCCATAAAGTTAATTGGACTATATTATGAATAACCATGCATTGACGCAATATTTTACATTTGAATAGTAATTATTGTAGTCCGCGTTATCATGATAAAACATTCGAAATAATTTTTAGGTTATAATCATAATAGTTATGTCATAATTGACAAACACATTACACATGTATATGCTAAACAACTACATGTCTTATTGGTCGAAAATGGAAATTTGAAAAACAGTTGATTTTGAGGTAACCATTTTGATTTAAGGCATAATGTACACATTTTTGAACTATTTTTCTAACAATGGAACAATTCCAGATTTTAAGATAGTAATTGGACGGTAAAATAGATGTGTATACGTTGTCATGATGTTCGCTTCATATTAATGGAAAATAATGATTCGATGTTATGTTAAAGATTAATGTGTGATGTGCTATTCATATAGTAAGTAATTATCAGCTGTTGATAAGTTTGATTTTTTTTTAGAAAGTTCTGTTCACTATTTTTAGAGTCGCTGGTACAGTTAATCTTTTCATTCTACGGAAATAAAATCAGAATGATTGTAAGCCGGTATCATGAAACAATCTTTGGAGACCATGTACAAAATGGAGAGCATAATTCCCGAAAGATACTCGACTGTACATGTAAATGCGACGGATTTTATCAGCTATTTTTTTGCATCAAATTTATAAATCTATCGAAGTAAAGTTGAACACGGCTGTTCTCTCTTTCTCTCTCTCTCTCTCTCTCTCTCTCTCATCTGTTTGTGTGAAGCTTAGTTTAAATTAAGCTGTACACATATACCAAATTAATTAATGAATGTCTCCTTTTATGATGTTGCTATGATGACTGGTGTACACTGCGTTATTTTTACAATTTCCCGCCCAAATTGGAGAGTTGCTAGATTCAGAGCGTAGACTTGTGCCAGGCGATAGGTAGTAAGACACGTCGCTGTCATGTCATCACGTTTTACGGTATGGAACTCACGTGAACATCGCTCATTAACGAGAGGCTGGTAATAAGACTCGCTCTGAAGAAGAAGAAAACAAAAATATACTAGATTTTAACTTGTGAAATTGAAATCATCCACGTACTATTATTTCGCATATTATTGTTTTTTCATCCATCAGTTTTTTGTTCTTCACGTTTCATTCATAGCTTCCATTCATTCGTTATAAGTCCACACAAGTTGACACTTATTTTATATAATTCTTATACATTTTTACAAGTATCTCATATTCTCATATGGGCCAACATTTTAGATATATTTCATTCACTTTCACGTCTCATTTTTTCAAATTTTGTATTATTTTGTTCTTGTATCATACTTTGATATATTTCTTTATTGCCTAAGTGAAATAAGTGATATCCATTCTTTAATCTGATTTGCCTACTCTAATTCTTTTTAGGATTGTATATTAGATTTTACTTGATGTGTTTAACTTTAAATCTTAAAATCTATGACAGTTTTAAAGTTTGTTACTACTTTGCATTCAATGTGTGCGAGTAGGCGGTGTTTGTCCGTGTGCGTTAGTGGGTGTGTTCGTCGGGATGTATGTGGCAGGCGCGGATCCAGGATTTCTTAGGGGAGGGGGCCCAACTTTTCTTTTTTTTTTTTGCTCCCGAAAATTTGAAAATCGCGCCGGTCGAAAAGTCGCTCAGTGGGGGGGGGGGGGGGGGGGGGGGGGGGGGGGGGGGGGGGTAGTGGGCAATTTTTTTTTTTTGGTCCTCGAAAATTTGCACCCCCCCCCCCCTTGAGCGCCAGGGGGGGGGGGGGGGCCCAACCCCCTAAAATGGTAAAAATCACGTAAATTTACATGATTTTTTTCTCAAGGGGGGGGGGGGCGGGCCCCCCCCCCCTGGACCCGCCACTGGTATGTGGGTTTGATTGTGTTGGTGCGTATGAATGCGTGTTTGTTCATTGGGTTTATTGATGGGTTCGTGGGGTACCGGGTGTGGCATGCGTGCGTGTGGGTGTGTGTGGGTGGGTACGTGGCTTGTGTGTGTTAATGTTGAGGTATGGTATTGTCTAGGAGGTTTGTATCGTGTAATTACCCGAATAAGTTGTACCAAATTTCCAGCAGCGTTGATATAGAGAACGACCGGGTATTCAACTTCTCTTGCGGAGCACATTGTTTCTGCTTCTTCACTAAAAGCTTCGGTATCGCCTCTTTCGTCGTCATCGTAGGTTCCCTCGTCATCGTCGGTCTCAGCATCATCGGCTTCCTCATCATTCTCATGTCTACGTTTCCTCTGCTTATATTCCTGATCTGAAGCTCCCGTTCCTATTTCAGCAGTTGTGTTATCTTCTAAGCGTTCTTTGCCACTTAGTCCTAAACTTCCAGGCAAGATATCTTTTGAACGAGTCCCAGTCTCCTCCAATGGCTTGCTTGATGAACCTTCCACCGAAAGTGAATCTGCATGCTGCTTAGAGTTAGATTGCGTGGATAGCTGCGCTGTAAAATTAGCCCGATCCGTTAAAATTGCCTTCAACCTTCTAAAACGATCTTCTTGCAAATCCTATTTAATAAAATGAAAGATGAAAACATTTCTGTCGGGTTTTTATAACTCTTAGTAAAAAAAATATAAAAAAAGGGGGGGGGGGCTTAAAATGGGTTAGAAATTCATCAGTCTAAAAAATCTGCACACAATGTTTTTTTAAATCGCAGTCTATTTTTACTATTTTACTACAAAATTGTATAGAAAAGCAAATAGATCTATTTGACAATACTCGATTATCCTATTTCATTGGACATGAGGGGGGGGGGGTGTCGGGTGCTTCGCTCTGTACAAGATAGGCCTAGTTTCATTACGTCTTCAAAGAAGAAAAAAGTTATAAATGACTTTCAGGTATAATATAAAGTTTCATACCTGGAATGTGGATTGAGCCCCTGCAGTATGACTGATGCTGCCACCATCGGGAAGAGATCTCCCTTGCAGAGCTTTTGTATTTCCTTCAAGAAGTTGATCTATATTTGAAAGAAATACTCCAAAAATGTAATGACCGGGGCCGGTTCAGAAAAAAAATGTATAAAGGGTACCCTTTGAAAAAGAATTTTATTTTTTTCTAATCCTGTTGTGCTTCATACGTTTTTTTTACCTATGCATTCCTTTACAACAGCCTTCCGCTGCCCCCATCCACTTTCCTCTCAATGTCTCCCTCTCTCTCTCTCTCTCTCTCTCCCCTCTCTCTCTCTCTCTCTCTCCACCCCTCTCGCTCTATCTCTCTCCACCCCTCTCGCTCTATCTCCCTCCCCCTCTCTCTCTCTCTCTCTCTATGTTGGTATATGATTTGCTCTCGCTCTCTGCCTCTCTCTCCCTCTACCCAAATTTCTCGTGGTAACTTTCTCACATACCGCGTCTCTCTCTCAATCTCACCATTTTTATGCCTCCGCCACCGAAGGTGGTGCCGGAGGCATCATGTTTTCGGGTTGTCCGTCCGTCCGTCCGTCCGTCCGTCCCGTTTGACCGTTATCACAATATCTCAAGAACCATTTAAGATTTAAACTTAAGACTCGGGAATAGTATTTATCACCATAGGAAGACGATCTGATTAGATTTTGGAGTACGTAGGTCAAAGGTCACAGGTCACAGAGGTCAACTTATGAAATTCCTTGTATTGAGTTTGTTAGCGCGATATCTCAAGAACCATTTGAGATTTAAACTTCAAACTTAAGGATAGTATGTATCACCATAGGAAGACGATCTGATTAGATTTTGGAGCACGTATGTCAAAGGTCAAGGGTCACAGAGGTCAACTTATGAAATTCTATACATTGAGATTGTTATCATGATATCTCAAGAACCACTGGAGATTTAAACTTCAAACTTAGTGATAGTGTGTATCACTATAGGAAAACAATCTGATTAGATTTTGGAGCACGTATGTCAAAGGTCAAGGGTCACAGAGGTCAACTTATGAAATTCCATACATTGAGATTGTTATCATGATATCTCAAGAACCACTGGAGATTTAAACTTCAAACTTAGTGATAGTGTGTATCACTATAGGAAAACGATCTGATTAGATTTTGGAGCACGTAGGTCAAAGGTCAAGGGTCACAGAGGTCAACTTATGAAATTCCATACATTGAGATTGTTATCATGATATCTCAAGAACCACTGGAGATTTAAACTCCAAACTTGTTTAAATTGCTCTATGGCGGAGGCATCATTTTCGACTGCGCGCAGTCAAAATTCCATCTAGTTCTTAATATTCCCTATACATACTTTTCTTTTTCGTCTTTTTGTATCATATTTTGGCTGCCTCTCCTCTCCTTTGCTTCTTTGCTTCTCCTTTATTTCTAACCCTATATCTCTTACCCTAACCCTCTCCCTTTCTCTCTCCAATCTCTCTCTCTCTCTCTCTCTCCTTTCTCTCTTCTTTCTTTCTCCTTCTCTCTGACTCTCTCTTTCTACGTCTTTCTTTCTCTATATCTAACCTTGTATATCGCTTACTTCTTTACACACATTTCTATGAATAAATATTTGTGTCAACCTGATAATTACCGTCTTCGATCTCGAATGCTCCTATTTTTTCCCTCAGGTGCAGTGGAGTATCAACAAAATAAAAGCAGAATGTCTTGTATATCGAATGCAGCTGCTTCTCAGTGAGTTGTATGATATATTGCTGATTTTCTTCACGTTGTAGAAGTTCTGGGTGTTCCGTCAACCTTTGAAAGGATAACACAGAAAGGCAATATATGTTTAAAGTTCACCCTTTTTTTGTATCTCATGTGTGAGAGGAAACGTATCCAACACTTTTTTTAAATTTTCAATAGAGGGGTAAGGTATGCAACGCCCCCACCCCTCCTCCCCCCCAAAAAAAACAAAACAAAACAAACATGCTATATACATGAACAGGTAAGCACATACGGAGCGCGTGCAACCTAGATCCACGCCCTTTACAGTAGAATTGCGAGAACCAATGATTTGCTCCACATTATTAAAATTTTTGTTTCCAGAACTAGTAAACATAATTCTATTAAACTTTGAAGAGCACCTACATATTATAAAAAAACAAAAAGAACTTAAGCGCCATTATATTTGAATAAAATTAACAAAAACAATAATCGGACGTCGGATCCACGCCGTAACGATTTGGACAAAGAACCCTACCACCACCACCCCCCCCCCCCCCCATGTCCATCCACCATTGATCTCTTCCTCCCTGTGCCTTCTTCGCATGATACGCGTTGGGGGGGGGGGGTCATGAAGATAAAAGATTTTATGTAAAAAGATCAATCTTTTAGAAGTTTTATGGTAGAAGGAAAAAAAACCCGCCTTTTTTAATTCAGTTTCATGACACCAAAGCACATATTACATTGTCTTTGTACCTTGTTATACGAGCCTCATGTTGCTTAAGTGACGTCAGCTGTTGGCCGGATAGGTAAGGTTCATTCCCATTGGAGCAGGTGAAACACGGCTCACAGTGTGAACACATGTGAGCACAGCTGATCACGGTGGCGAGAAGGATTACCACACATCCTATCGACATCGCTATCAAGCTGGGCGGCGACGTCTCATGTTCAATTCGCTGTTGAAGAAAGCAAATAATAATAATGATGATAACAATGATGGTGTGATATAATTATTATGTAAGAGCGCTCAAGCAGTACACCACGGTCATATAGCCGAGCGATTCTAGAATATCGGGTACACACTCATGAAACCTAGGTAGAGTAGAGAGTGGAAAATCTGAATTAATGACTTGCCAAATTCATTACGGGCTTGGGTTCGAACCCTCAATATTTTGATTGAAACTAAAGTGAATGAACCACTCCATCACTACACTTCCGAAGAGGTACCAACAACTTTGATTTATTATTATTTGATTCGTCTCGTACAATACATTTTACAACATGGAATACATTACAGATTATGTTCCTCGACAGGATAAACCATGAAATATGATAATGTAGCTTACTTTTTCTTCTTCCAATGGAGTCCTGGATAGATCCCTAATCTTTGGGATCTGTTCTTCCTTCTCTTGACCCCCCCCCCCCCCACCACCCCCATCTCCGTATCTTTCAAAAGGGATGAATCATTATCTTTCTAGATATAGTGTAGTGATAGCATTCGATTTGTTAAATGGGGATATTTATATTTCGAATATTGAATGAAATCTTTTACACGGGCGGAAGAGTGGAGTCGGAGGGGAGAATATACTTTGTTAAGTGAAACCCTACATTGAAAATTTATTAGTCTCTAGTCAGTATATGTATTTTGAAATGGGATGGACCATACAGAATTGTGGATAAAATTAGCATTCGCCAGACTGGTTGAAAATGGTGATGTGGGTAAATACTCATCGTCGAATATTATGTGTCATCTTTCCTTTCAAAGGAAATGCAAATCTATGTAGGAATTGGAAGGGGCAATAACTGTACGCATAATGGTGATTATTATCCTTTTGTTGCGATAAATACTGCACCAGATTTGCTCTATATTTTCATTTTGATTTTCATAAAAGAAGGCCTCACATTTGCCTTTCAACTGAAAATATTAAATAACCAGTAACTAAGAAATACTTTAACATTGCTTATACAATGATAGTTTATAGGCTTTCAAAGTTATAACTGTGTTTCTCAACCCCGTTAATGAAATGCTCATAATTATAGTGACGAAGGAGCTAGGCCTTAAAATTTGTTTAGATCGAAAAATGAAGCAATAAACTTTCAATTAAAGAAATACTTTTACTTGAAGTTTTATTTTGTAAGGTATACAAGCTTTAGCTTTATAATCGGGTTTTCCCCGTCAAATTAACGATGTCCCTAATTTATAGGAAAAGAGGGGCAGTTCTTAAGCCTAACCTATCATAACCATGCGCAGATATTCCATGGTAGGGAGGGGGTGGGCGTCTCCTCATTATTTGAAATTAAAGGCACCCGTGAAATGTGATGACAAAATAATGTGACTCCTCTTTTAGTTTTAAGACCAATTTTCACCCATGCATGATCACAAGTCTTGTTCAAAATGCTGGGCCCTGCAACATCGGCGCTATAATATCGAACATACCTTTACTTTATGATTAGAGGTAAGTTCCGAAGACTGAAGCTGATCATGATGACCGGATCCTCGGTCATCAGAGGCTGCGTTATTCATCATAATATTCATGATGAAGCAGGCGATTCCAACCAAGTAGGAAATGTTAATGGTGTCAAGACAGTTAGTGTTAAAATAAGACTGCGTTATGCACCAAAGGCTACTTCAATATCGTGAAACACTTGCTTCAGAGATTGTTGGTGCAATGCCGGTGTTTGGTTATTATTGGTGCATGGTGTATCGTGCGATTCGATCTAAATTAACACTCCAGTGTTAACGCGAGTAACACGTCGCGACGTTACAAAGTACAACATAAAACTTTTGCTCAACAGAGAATAGGACTGGTGTAACGCAGGTGTTATTCAGTCACAGTGGTGTGTCAAATCCATGATGGCTCAAATAATACAAAAGTGTGTCTCTCAAAATTGTGTGGTCTCGTATACGGCAAATGCGAGGTCTCGGGACAAAACCGACTCGATTTATTAGTGCCCTTCATGAAGACATTACTCCTCAAATCACGGATTAAACCTCATTGCTTATATCAAAATCATAAAATCCAAGGATATTCGTCAATCTCGATGTAGAATACTATTCAATCTCGTCCGACCAGACAGCCACCACTTGATCACTAAATTCAAACTTCCTTGAAACAGTCGACTTTGTCTCTCACGTATTCCCTGATATCATAAAGCGATTACAAAAGTAGAAATTATTTGTGTGATAAACGTTCATCCATAGCAGTGGGAAATCTCCTTGTTATAACAGGAATGAGAAGTAATAGACTGCGTATTTGAACAATGAATTTATATGCCCTGATATTATTGTGAGTTGGTGTACAGCTGGAAATTATTTTGACACCTTTAAATCAATACTGCGCACGTACATGTAACCGATTTTTCTTTTCATTTTCACGACTAAGAATTATATATCGATGCAGACATATGTGTATTGTGATTGTAACCTAATTTGTATAACAATGATAACGAATATGAATAATAATATCAGACTTCTGCAAAAAAACGTACTTGCTATTAATAGAAAAATTCACATGGGATAAAAAGAAATTAAAAAATTAAAAAAAGGAACGGCGGTTCATACGCACCCACACCCCCCCCCCCTTTAGTTGCGGGTCTCCCCCTATCTCTCTCTCTCTCTCTCTCTCTCTCTCTCTCTCTCTCTCTCTCTCTCTCTCTCGGTCCTAGCTCTTCTTTCCTCTTCTCCATTTTTTCGCATATCTTTGTAGACGTTAGCGCGCGTCACGGTGTGGGTGACAAAATGGACCAAGTAGGTAGTAGACTTATTGGAGGTTATAGACCGAATGACTATATTAGCCCAAATGGTCATTAGACAGGTAGACAATAATATGAGTATTAGACCATGTGGAGACTGGCTGGGTGTAGACCATATGGGAATAGACCAATTGGGTATAGTAGACGAACTGGTTCATTGTATGCGTGCCTGTAACGGCTATTAACCGAAGTGAGGTTGAGTAATGGAATTACATAGTGATGCAATCACTTTTGATATTTCATTTTGAAAATGTATGTCAATTTGGCGGCCTGTAATCACAAATCGCGAGTATTGAAAGCAGTTTCTCGTCCAATACATGTCTATTCGTTTTATTCGAGAAAAATAAACCTAGACAATTTATATGTTCGTGTTGATGAAAACCGCGGGATGAAAATGGCTTAGGAGAAAGTATATACAGAGTGTTTCTGTTGCATATAATTTCCCTTCTTTTTTCCTATATACACTGTATTGTAAATTGAATTATATGATATAAATGTTTACACAGAACATTGATTTGTTACATTGCATGGTAAGTTGATTTATATGTTTATGAACATATTATTGATGTACATCAATGAAGTTAAATAAAATTATACAAAGCAATACTATTATACAATAATGGTTTCATAGGGGTTTTTCTAGGCAAGAGGATCGACTCATGTCCATAATTATACCTATCAGTTTTGCGATTCAAGTGTACATGTGGGAAATAATTTGATGGAATGATTGGAATCAATTTCTATACAGTTTGAGACATTTATTTTGAGAATAAGTTGTAATTTTTATATGACTAGACTGTATTCTATAAATATATTTGCACTTGAATTTGGTGGGAGGGGCATGCAAAGTTGCCATGGGCGCACGACGCCGATTTACGACGCGCGCCGCGCGCGCTTCATATTATTCTGTTTGTGTTATTGCATTGTGCTCACGAGAACAAGAAACTGCTGGAAATTTGATCAGTTATCTTTAGAATCACCTTTTGTCTAGAAACACGAAGAAGATGGCTGAAAGATTAAAAGGAAGTTTAACGGAAAAGGTAACATAATTTCGCTTCAGTGTGTTGAGTTTCAAACTTTAATTAAATAACTAGACTATCACTCGCTTATTTCATTTCGCAATGAATTAACTACGGTCCCACTTACTGAAAAATATGTGTGTGGCTGATGCCGAAAATGATTTCTATTTTTCTTCTTTTTCTTTTCTTTTTCTGCTTCTGCTTCTTCTTCTTTTTCTTCTACTCCTTCTTCTTCTCCTCCTCCTTCTTCTTCTTCTTCTTCCTCTTCCTCCTCTTCTTCTTCTTCTTTTTCTTCTTCTTCTTCTTCTCCTCCTCCTCCTCCTCCTCCTCCTCCTCCTCCTCCTCTTCTTCTTCTTCTTCATGCAAATTGAATGTTTGGATCATTTGCGCTACCACAATTCCTGTTCACAGTTTATGCATGGCCTCCTCTTTGGCTACTCCTCTTCTTATCCTCCTCCTCCTCCTTCTTCTCCTCCTCCTTCTTCTCCTCCTTCTCCTCTTCTTCTTTTCCTCTTCAGGTCTCCTTTTCCTCCTGCTGCTCCTTGCATGCAAATGAACTGGGTCATATCATGTTTGGTAAAGTCTATAGCCACTGCATTTTATCAATCCCAGACATTCCACTCGCTTCACTCCATGATATACAAGGTTATCTACCTTGTATTTACAGGTTATCCTGCTCAACCTTTCAAATGTACGATGTCCACAGGATGCAGGTACAGAGCAGAAGACATGATTTGTGCACTTCACCTTACAACAATTGCCAGTGCATTGAACTGCTAAATGTGTAGAACATCCTCCAAACAACTGCATACCAAATTGAATTATAGTATTTACTCAAATCATTTGTAACTCTTACAGGTTGGTGAGATCAAGAGAATGCAGAGCAATTGGATGAGAGAACGATCTCAAAACATTGATGGTCGAGAGAGCATGGGTGAAACACGTGAAGGAGGTGGAGAAAGGAAGGGCCGAGACAAGAGTGCCAGAAAATCTGCTCAGACAAATGATAAATCAGGTGAGTATTGCACTTTCCCAGAGCTACGTATGCTTTATTTCATCTCCTTGTGTAAGAACTACTATAAACCATGGAAAGGAAAATATTTCAATGTATATGTTGCAATTTACAATCTTCTGGTTATCAAACTTGTTTCTTTGCATCTACTTCTAGACACACTCTTTATATCTGAGAGGTCAGCATGACTTTGTTTATGCTTAGTTTATGCTTAGTTTAAATTGAGTGCTAAGTGAACTCCACATTCATCATCTCGTGAGGAGGTTGGGGGGGGGGGGGGGGGAAGGGTTTTGGGAGAATCAAGGAGTTTATGCCCATGTCACAAGAATACATTTAAATTTTTACTATTATTCCTGATATCATTAGAGAGAATTACATCTTGGTAATTCTCATGTGAATTCCCCAATCCTTGGTCCTGCCATAAAACTGAGTTTTATGCTCCCCAGGGAGTGGAGAATGTGCATACATTGTGTGGGGGTAAGCCTGAATCCGATGACCGGGGTAATAATATATACTGCACCTAGAAACAAGGTATTAGGCGCATTATAAATGCGATGTATTATTGTTATTATGTACTGGTGAGAACCTTGTCTGCTATGAGGCACTAAACTTGTGTTATATCCTTCTTCTACTTCTCCAACATGTGTACCAAAGATAATCTTCAAAAGGCTATGCAGCCTATCACAAAGATGATCTAAAGAATGCAAGCAGTGTGAAGAAGAAAAAATGGGGAGAATCTAATGTGTTAATTAATGTTAATTAATTTTCAGGGTCGGAAACGATGTCCTGGAGTATGGGCAATTCTAAAAAGAAACCCCTGTCAACTCAAAATTCAACAAAACCATCCACCAAGCAGCAGACACTAAGAACACGATCGGCTTCCCCGGCTCGGAGTGCGACAAATTCCGCAAAGAAGAGTCCATCTGCGTCATCATCATCAGCTGCTAGTAAGAGGAATGGCTCCTCATCCAGGCCTTCAAGTGCAAGGAGTACTGCTAGCGAAGGGTCACGTCCTCCTTCTGGTAGGAACTACCCATCATCATCACAACCAGATAAATCAGCCAGGACAGATCACAAGAGAAGGGTGGGTGATAATGACAGCATTTCTTTAGGTACAAGGGAGAGGACTGATGTTCGGTCTACCCGAGGAGATTTAGGGGATAGGTTCCATTCGGAGCCAAACTTGAATAACTTTGAAGGTTCTGATAGGGGTGGTGAGACAAGTTCCAGGAGACTACAGGGGGATATGGGGGACTATGATAGTACGAGAGGGGTACAGTCAACACATTCCCTAGGCCATAGTAAACAAACAGTCGATGACCAATGCATGGTGAGAGATAGCCAGACGTCCAGTCAGGTTGACGGCAGCGCGTTGGAGAGAAGACCACGGCCAAAACCTTCTTTGGATCCAGATGCCTTTGACAGGCTAGCTGACCAGATTGCTACCAGGGTGAAGGCAGAGATGAAGGATGAGAGACAGGAGTTGATTCGCCAATCAGGATATCCTCAGAACGTCCTGGATGAACCCAATGATCAGCCAGAAGGATACATTGAAGGACATCACTGCTGTAAATGCAAGCAGTTAATGGTAGGGTCTGTGAGCACAAGAGCTTCATTTCATATTCAAATTGCCATTCTTAAAGGCCAAGTCCACTCCAAAAATAATTTGCTTTAAATAGATGCAAAAAACAAGAGAAACAGAGCCCAATGAGGAAGTTATGATTTTTGTTTACAGTATGAAAAACTATGGAACATAGAAAATCACTACACACATTGCCGATTCAGTTCTCAAGTTGTGATATCATTGCCTCACTATTTATCAATTGCTTTATATATCTTTATCCCATTAATTCCCTTTTTAATTTTATCCCCAAAACTTGATTTCCCCATGCCTTTGCCCAGGTTATATGATTTGTATCATATTGCGTGCATGACATTTCACAAAATCTTGTATGAACTTTGAAGATTTGATACTATTTTCTGAATATTGTATTTTTCATATTCTTGATTTTATATAAATAGTTTATTGAAATTCACATTTTCTAATGATTTAACTGAAGAAAAAAAACTTTATATTAATGCATCTACACAAAAACATGTTACCATCAATATAACTTGGAAGCTGGTGTGAGGAAATGAGATTTTTAGAGGGAAAATTGGAAATTTACATTATCATTATAAAGAAAACAATTAGTTGATAGTGAGGCAATGTACACAAGAATTTCTAAACCCTTTTTTACATTTGTTTGGCCGTCTGTCTATTTCCCACCTAGATACCACCTGATCATTCTGCAACTCTCCTGGTTCCGTGTGGACACACCCTCTGCGAAGCATGTGCAGAAGATAGAATCAAATGCCCAACTTGCAGAACGAGAGGTAAGATCAAAGAACCCCCTCACTTAGATTTTATATTGCAGATGATTTAATCTCTTTTTTTTAATAGTAAAGCATAATATTAATATTGATTTATGGATGTGGCTCTCATTTTCACTGACTGTATAAACCTAGTATATGCTTCACAACTAAACATACATGTAATTGTTGTAGGAGGCGCGATAGCTCAGTCAGTAGAGCACTGGTCTAGTAATCTGGTGACCCGAGTTCGAAACCAAGACGATGTGCTAGTGCCCTTTGGTAAGGCATCAGGTACCAGGTACCTCGGAGAGACCTAAAGCCATCGGCCGTCCGGTTGCTTACTTGCAAGCATTTATGCTTTCTTAGCAGTCAGGTGAAATAACCATCACATCAATGTGCTCTTTTCTCTACTATTTACAGTCACCTCAACGTCACTGAATTCAACTCTCCAAGAAATCATCTCCTCCTCGAGACCCAACTCTGGAGCTTGCCCTCTTGCCTCCCACTCTCAACCACTGACCAATCACAGAACTCCCTCGGATGTCAATCAAAATCACGTCTCAACTCATTCGACCAATCACTACCCAGACAGCCACAGAACTCAACAATACACGCCTTCTCGATATGCAGATGAGGGACAAGTCCATTCAAGACCAGAGGGGGGAACCGAGCATCTTACCAGAGGGTTCAATAATAATGATAATAATGCAAGGACGAGAGAAAGTAAGGATGCAGGAAGTGAGAAGGTCGATGTTGCTCGTAGCAGGAGGAAGATGAGCCCGGAAGAAGAAGCGAGGAAGCTGGAGGATGAATACCAATCGCTTGGTATCAGGTGTGAAGCTTTGGAGAGTGAAGAAGCAGATGTAGTGGAGAGGGTGGAGAAACAAAACCAAGAGATTGCCAAACACAAGGTTCATCTCCTCACAATTTGTAGAAGCTTTTTTTAAATAAAATGTTAAAAGTATTTATTGAAACAACTCTCATACATAATAATAACATATTCATATAGACAAAGAGTTTATAGTAAAATATAATGTTATAGTTACATTAACTCATCAACAAAAACTACTCAAAAAATATCTGCCATTCATTATGAAGATCGAGACAATTTGTAGAAGCTTGTACTTTATTTCTTCTTCATGGAATTAAATAATTTAAAAACACTTCGGAGCCAGTTAAACAAACTGTTATACCCAACATGATTTTACTTTAGCAATTGTAAATACAAGCTAAACTGATAGTGTAGTAACACAAATCTTTATACAGGTGTACATACTTGGAATACTCAGTATTATATTTACATAAAGAAAAACATATAATTGGAAGTTTTTTTGTTCTTCAAACAAAATGTGAAGTATTATTTAATACAATAAGTTCAGAATATATCTCCAGGGACATGCTATCCTGAGACAACATCCAGCGAAGTCACTTGGATCTTTATTATTGAAAGAACGTTTCTTTTTTCATCTAAACTATGTGTGATATTGTTTTCTTCATTGCAGCAACAAATGGGCAACATATCACAGAAACAGCAGCATCTGAGGGATGAAATCAAGAGTCTGGAGAAAAGACTAGCTGGCCTCGAAGGTCATCGGCAGGAATACAAGAGACAGGTGGAAGATGCAGAGGACAGGAAGAGGGAGGAGCTTGACCAGCTTGCGATGGTCCGCACCATGCTCAGGGACAAGCAAAGGGATCGCGAGAGGGTAAGTTTTCTAGTAATGAATTGCCGTTTCATCTAAAACACAATTACTCTATCTATTCCCATGTGGTCCACATCAAGCCCGTCTACTATCCACATGGTATAATAATCAATTGATGATTATTGTTATTTATGATTAAATGATTCTTAGACCGTATGGATGGTAGACAAAATGGGAATTAGACACACTCTGGGAATTAGTCCGACTGGAAATTAGACTAAATGGGTAGTAGACTTATTGCAAAATAGACCAAAGGACTATTAGCCTAAATGGTCATTAGACCAAATTTTAAGTAGACCAAATGATTATTAGACACTTACATACCGGTATCTATTAATGTATGACTGTATTAAAGCCTTTATCAATTTTTTTTCCCATCTTTGTGCAGGTCAAAATGTCTGCAAGAAAGTTAAACGTTTCTCTTGACTGAACACTCTGATTTGAACCTCGTGTAATGGACCCTCTATAATCAAATGAGAGGGTTACCAAAGAGATAACAAAGCAACTATTCGCTGGCGAAAGAGGGATTGGTCGACCACGGCTTCGCTAGAAGGACACGGTCAGGCGGCACCTTAAGCGGTGGCAAATCGAAATCAAGACTTGGACAACTGCTGCAGGCCAGCGAGCTGTATGGAGAACAGCTGTAAAGTGAAATTGAAGGCGGTCATTGTCCCTTTATGACATACAGCTACTACAATAATCAAATGAGGGGGTAATACCATGATGCAAACTATGCAAATATTAAGTGTCATCCGATATTTATTTATTGCCTTGTGTTCAAGGTTTGGTACTGAAAATAACATGTAAAGTGATTATCAAATCATTAACATTGTGGTCTCTGTTCCATGACAGTCCAGGGCAAGTGACCAGTTGAAAGCCCCTTATTCGACTTTAAACTCATGAGGGGGTTCCTTTAATACTAACCTTCATTTCAATGCTGAGAAAGTGCCAGTGCCATGACTGCTTTCCTGACATCTTTTGGTCTACCTTGGAATACCTAGTACAGGGGCTCCACATTACATTTAAGTCTTTTTGGAAGGGTGTCTGGATGGGCATTTTTAGAGTCTCTATACATGAACCTAATGCAAAAGTTTGAGAATTTTGGCAGTCCCTGGCGCCCGTTGTCAAGCCCTGCCTAGTACATGTATGTAAAAGATCTACAACCTATTTCTAAGATCGGTAAAGAGTTGATTGGTAATAAAAAATTGAAGCTGCCTTTAGTCTTCAAATATGTATAAGATATTAATATCATGGTATGTAATAAAGGACTTACCAGACCTTGGTTGCAGTCAGAAACATTGAGCAATATATTATAAATATACCTGCATCTGTTCCTGCACTTGGTTGTTTTGTCGGGTTACAAGTATTTAACGAGAAAGTATCCTTTAGCTTCTGGTGGTCTATGATACAAAACCAATCCCAATCATTTGAAATTGCAAGATGATAATGATAATGATAATCTGGATTTATATAGCACTTAATACAAAATACTGTCTCTTTAGTGCTTTGCAGATATTATTATGTTATGTGTTGAAATATACAATACACTAGATACAAAAAGAAGACTTCATTATTATATGTTTTGGTTGGTAATTTTTAGTCAGACAATTGTGCGCTTAGAAACACCTGTATTAAGCACCTAATAAATGTTGTGTATTATTATTATTATTCTTATAATATTCAGGGATTGTTTATCAAAAAACTCTGGTATTCTTAGACCTTAGTGTGCTCATATAATGCAGTGTTAAATTAATCATCAGAAAGTAAGTTGTGAGGAATTTTGTGATCAGTATTACTGACGATTTTGCACTTTTCTCTTTGATATTACATTAACAACAAGAGTTGTTAATATTTATGACAGAATTCAGCACAATTTTGAATAATTACTCACCCCCTGAAATTTTTAGTTTTGTACATGAAATCTTTCCAATAAGTCAACCAGGGGGGTGTTTCACAAAGACAGAGATTGACTTTAAATTGGACCTAAATATAGCAGGCCGTTCATGCCACTATTTGCTCTCACCATTTTGATCTTTAGATGATATTTTTCCTTCAATAATAAATTATCAGAAAATATTAATTCTGTAGATTTGTGACCATGATTTGTACGTCCCTTGAGAGACCAATGCCAGTAAACGTTGAGAGCAAACAGTGGCATGAATGGCCTGCCCTAGTTAAGTCCAACTTAAAGTCGATCTTGGTCTTTGTGAACCCCCTCCCCCAGACATATAGATAAATTGGTGCTACCCTGATACCTTGAAAACAGACGTTCAGTGTTTTTTCCTCATTCAAAATTTAAGAGAAATTACATGTACCGTTGGTGTTTATATAGTCTTGGAAAACGTGTCATTGCTCCACCTTCCTAAAAAATGTATGATTAATGTTTGCAATGTTACTTTTTGTTTAATTTTAAAAATGTCATACTACTTGTCTTTCATACCCAAGAAGCACTTGAAACAAGAACTTTTATGTTTCTGTCATTTTGAATTGTGATCTTGAACATAAAGATGTATGTATTAAACTGAGGATGAAGATATATATATAAATATAAACCAATTGTTGTTGCCTATTGTTTCTCTTACTTGTAGCTAATTACACTGCACCCTAAAAAAAAGAGAATTTCTTTTGTAATGGGTTTGCTACCAGGATTTATTTTCAACGCACCTAATCCAGGTTCCCTATGTATTCTTCCCTTTGAAAACGCTCCTTCTGAACTGTCCGTTTGTCGCTCTTCCTGGCTGCCTATTAGTCTCTGAATATCTTTTGCTCACTCTATCTACCTGCTCCCTTAATTGTCACTCTGTCCAATTTCGTATGTCATCTGTCTATAATAATAATAACGTTTTATTTACCCAGGGTAGCCACTTCAGTTATAAAATTGCTCTCCCAGCGGGCCCTGCATAACATAACATTATCCTTCTCCAATCTAATATGCTGAGCGCCTAGCTAGAAGGCAGAAGGTTCCATTGTTATAAGTCTTTGGTATGACTCGGCCGGGGATCGAACCCACGACCTCCCGTTCATGAGGCGGACGCTCTAACCATTGAGCCACCATGTCCGGTCATAGCATGCTAAAGCTCTAGCTTTGCCCCCTTGTCTCTCTCCCTCCCCTCCCCGTCTCTCTCTTCTTCTTCTTCTTCTCTTTCTCTCTCTTCTTCTCTCTCTCTCTCTCTCTCTCTCTCCCTCAGGTGCCCTAATTCTCACTCCCCCCCCCCCATTTTTTTTTTATTAATCTCTCTATCTCTACCTCTTTGTCTCTTGATTTTCAAATGTTTTGTTCTATCTGAGGTAAAATGTATTAAATATTAGACAATCGGGAAACAAATTAATGAACCTATTTTCATGCAGGGTTCTAATACGAAAGGGAAGAACATGAAAATATGAGAAATTGCAAAAGTCAAAGATCATGATTCATCTGACACTTTTTCCATCCATAATTGATCTTCCCCACTTTCATATTTCTACGTAGAGCATGGGCAGGGGGGGGGGGGGGTGCATGAAACACAAAAAATATAGGAATTACAAAAAACAAAAAACAAGAGAATCGAGAGCTAGGGAAAAGGAAGAGAGCAGGATCGAGGGAGGAATTTAGAATTATTACTTCACTTTAATATAACTATAGTTGATTCAGCACATATATCAACTTGGTCGACGGGTTAATATACAGAGAGTAGATCTTTAATTTCAAGGGGTACTAACGTTGAATCGAAGCTTGACTATAGACCCATGACTTCCCTCTTAACATGCCAAAGACATAGAGGTTTGAATTCCTGCCTCAAATTTTATGTTGTATCTTTCACTAAAAAAAAAAAAACAGTATGATTATTTGAGATTCGAAACCCATTTCATATGCAGGTCTGTATGGTTTCATGTGATTTGATAAGCTCATCGTTACATATAAAGGATAGATCTTAATCTTTTCTTACACCTCTGTAATTCATCCATCCGTGCCTCGAAGCGCGAAGACTAGACAGTGGTAAGTGGTTGAGCGCCATCTATTGGCAACTTATGAGAACGTACGCTTTTTTGGACGCGCGTTTACATTACGCTCCATGAGAGAGAATGGTCGCCTTATCGTGTACAAATTGAATGGAGTGATAACACTGACGTTACAAATTTTCCAAATGTGAACGCGCAAAACAATTCTAGGATATCCATTTTGCGTAGTCCCACACATACACTCGCACGAAAATGGAGGCTGACTAGGACAAATTCGTAAAGACAGCTTTTTTAAAAGTAGTTTTGACACATTTGTGATGGCCTCGACCAGCCAACAGAATGAAGAAGAACCAGGGAGTTCATCTGTCGTTAATCCAGTCGACGAAGTCCGGGCGATGACATGGGGAAGTGAATTGAAAGAAGACGTTTTCTTGCGATGGTCGCAAGGTAAGATTTTTTAAAGACCTTTTGATTAAGTTCTGAGTTTGAATTGGTTTTAAAAAAAAGCTAAAGACTAAGCTCGATATGTTTCTAGTTAAACTTTTTACATTCTTAGGCTTACCCTGATTCCTTAATGTACTATTTGTTGGTTATAATTATTGGAAAATTGACAAAATATTGATAAATTATCAGCAAATATGAAACATAATTTGTGAATTTTTCACACGCGTTTCATTTTAAAGTTTCTAAATCGGGCCTAGACTATCATCTACTGTCTAGATCTAGATTTTAAATTGTAAAGTTCAATTTAAATTGATCTTAATTTGCTTGACAGAAACATGCTTTTAACATCTTTAAGGTGAATTAATTTTCATGCCTCCACAATCATGACAATTGCAACAAAGTAGCGCCTAGCGGGAGGCAAAAACTTAACCATTAAAATTAATGTTCAGGTTGTCCGTATGTCCCGTTCTTGTGATGATCGCGTTATTGATGGATTCCTGCCAAACCTGGGTCATTTTTGTATCTTGCAGATCGAGCCGATGCAATGAACTGATTAGATTTTGGGGTCACGAGGTTAAAGATCAAAGGGTCATACTCATAGATCATCGATGTAGGTCTAGTCACAATCTGATGTAATTAACGTTGTTGAATTATATTTAATTATGTCATATTATTTTCGTTCAATGTACTTACCTTGTTAGGCGCCTTGAGCATCTCTTGGGGTGGATATGTGCGCATTATAAATGTTGTTATTATTATTATTATTTTAGTCTAGAGTCTAGTCTAGATCTCTAGATCCTATATGAAAAAAAGTGATATTGATAACCTGTTATTAATGGCTAATGCATGGATTACAATCAAATTTGAATTCTAAAAATTGCTTCTGTTTTTGGTATGTAAAACGCTCTATGGCCGAGTCGCCCAGTCAAAGATCCATCTACATATAATTCATTATGTTGATAGGGTAATTCTCTTTCCCTACATGTGCAGTAGCTTTGCCCCCAAGTGTTCAAAACAAATATGCATGTACTTAAGTTGCAAAGGAAGCCATTGCTTCAGGCTATATTTCATCACAGACATAGGGTTAAGGTACATAGATGGAGTCAGTAACATACTGTAGTAGTGGGTACAGGTTGAAAATCAATGATTTTATTCAAGAGTGTAAGGAATTGACAGTAAGGCATTTGTTGCCAAGATACCAAACTTTCCAGATTCAAAGAAGAACTTATTTGTTTGGTGGAAGGCTCCAGCCTCCAGGCCAGTTATTCCAAGCAAAGGAAAAATATCTGCTCTACAAAGGAGGTATTTTTTATGAATTTTAATGATTTTTTGTTTTGTTTGGTTGTTATTTGCTATCATAAAGTTAGACTTCCCTTTTTAAATTACTGGTGTTTTTTTAAAAATAAGTCTCACAATCATTTTGAGTATTGAGTTTCCAGTAACTAAATTGCTCTCTTCCTGATCCTCCACCTCCTCCAGTTGCTGTCTTCATTGAAGATGAGCCCATGCAATAAGAAGGAAGGCAATGGAGTATGCAGTATGTACCCTGGTAGTATGAAAAGTCAAAAAGGAAGATAAAGGGAAAAGAAAAGAAAAGGTTATAATTTCTTGTTCTCTTGTGTTTTTTTTTCTTACCATGGTTGATAGGCTTTGTATTCAGTGATGATGAACCTATGGCGCTGCTACAGTATGAGGGAGGTCCTTGCGCAATCATCGCTCCTCTTCAAGCATTCCTCGTCAAGAACCTTCTCTTCAGCCAGGAGAGCCAATGTGAAGAGGGCACAGAAAGCTGGAGACAGACCAACGGTATGGTTAACTTTAATGGCACTTCACAATGACATATACATTAAAGTTGGTTACATTACGTAAAATGGCCTATTCATATGTCATCCGTAAAGACTGATTGCCCCACACGCCTCCCCATTCTGATATTAGTGTCCCCATTAAATGTTGAAAATGGCAGGGATGGGGAGGGGGGGGGGTAGAAGATAAACAGACATTAACATTATCATCATCATTCTGTATTTCAGGGGACCAACTAAAGCACAGGTCTGCTCCTCTGGGCCATGCAGGACATCGTCTGTTAAGTTTTCACTGGAAGCTATGTACTGGTCTTATAAGGAGACAATCAGGAATTGTTACTGTTTGAATAGTATTATCGTCATCATCATTATCATGATTGTTATTGTTATTTATTTCATTGTGTATTTCAGGGGACCAACAAAAACACCTAATCCTGTTTCCCATGCAGGACATCATCTGTTAAGTTTGCAGTGGAAGCTACATGTATGTACTGGTCTTAAAGCCCCACTGCCTAAGCAGTGCGTGTTGATCCCCTTGATCCCCTTTTTCTTATGTTAATTGAGAGCTGATTTGATGAGATAACCCTGTCAGTGACCTTGCACAGAGCTCTAATCGCCCTGGCGAAACTAGTGTAGACAGGCTTTAAAAGGAGACAATCAGGAATCGTTACTGTTTTAATGGTATCATCATCATGGTTATTACTTTCATTGTGTATTTCAGGGGACCAACGTAAGCACCTGCTCCTCTGCGCCATGCAGGACGTCATCTCCTCAGTGTCCAGCGGAAGCTACTTCCTGGTCTTACAAGAAGACAAACAGGAACTGACCATTGAGAATGTGGCAGGGTCATCGGATGGCGAACCCACGCATGTCACCTTCCACAGGAATCTCAGGTTGGTTGGTTTTCAAGCTATTGTGTCCAAAGAGCCAGAAGGGTGGTATTAATTGTACTTTGGTAAAGAGTTCATTTTTTTTCTTTCTTTTTTTCTTTAAAAAAAAAATTATTGGGTTCTCAAGGAAAACATGAAAGCCAACTGGTTATTTACAATCATGTACAGGAATGTGAAATGACAAAAACATCATGTAGTCCACTACAACTCAAATATAATTTTTTTTAAATTGATTTGCTGCAATTACATATTCAGATTTAGACCATGAACATTTTGTTTCTCTTTCTTAAATTTGCAGCAGTGTATGATGTAGAATCTGGAAGAAATTTATACATATTGAATTTTGATAGTCCTTGGGACAACCAAACATTCTTTCAAATTCCATTTTTTAAAATTTTTTTTTTAAAGTTTTGGTTAAGAATACATACCGTTCTGCCTCCCAGTAGACAATATGTATAATTTGTATCAATGCAAGGTAGCAGTGCTTGTTTATGAGATATTAAATGTCACCTTTTGTCCATTATTATACATGATTCATGTTGATTGCTTGACAATAATTTTTAACACAAATACATGTATATGAAAAATAGCTTGCAATCACGATTTTCTGAGAACCTGTTAATGAATTACAATCAAACTTGAATTTTTAAAAATTGCTTCTGTTTTTGTTTGTAAAATCGCTCTATGGCGGAGGCATCATTTTCAACTGCATGTAGTCGAAGATCCATCTAGTTTTCATTTTTTTTAAATACTCAAGACAGACCCAAATACATGTTATACAATTGAGTGATTTGACATACCAGCACATTGACTAATTACATTCATATTTTCTTTGCCAGAATACAAACATATAAATCTGAGGATGAGCTCAGAGGTGCTCTGATGACGACGTACCACATGTTTGTTGGTCATGGAGGAGTCCTTCTCTTCCTGTACTCAGTATTACTAACAAAGGTGAGAGTATGTGGGACTGGTCATTAATTTTGCTTTCTTTTAAGCTTGAGAACTACTTTCATGATTGTATTGGCTACCCTCGCAAAGTCTGTTTTATTTGTATGCATGTAGATGTAATAGTGTATCATAGGAATTTGAGATTTTATGCATTTCATTACCTCTTTTATTTGTTTTGTGCCTAGGAATAGTTTTACTTGTTAGGCAGGGCAAGATTCATCTTAATGTTTTGTTATTACTTTTCTATGGTAATAAACGTAAATCCAAAAATTATTGTGTTTAAGCCCTTAGATGTTAATTTTACCACATTTTTCCTTTTCCGCCTCTTTCTCATGTGAAATTGAAGTCTCACTTAAAAAAAAGAAGTAATATTGCTATTTGTACATAATTACTTTATATAATTGATTCATTTCTTTCTTTATTTTCTTCATGGTCTCTTTCCAAAGTTACAAACTAATACAACATAATCATGACAATTTATACAAAGTATATAGTTAATACATCATCATCATAAAACATTGTAATACTAACATGAAATAATCATGAAGAAGGATTGCCAAAGATGAGGGCATGGTAATTCTTTATACTCATAATTTATACTTAAATACTCATTGTCATCTGATGAAATTTTCCCTGGGATTTATTTCATAAAAAATATGGGGTTAAATATGATAACCATGTTGTTTTTGGCTAAGAGAATGGTTAGTTGGAGTGCTGGGACCTAGGTTGATGTTGAAAGTGGACTCGTGTTTAAAATTTGCTATTGTAAAATTGTCATTGGAGCATGTGTAGTACAATCCTTTAGTTTGCCCATTATGAAAAACAAAGCTATGTATTCTCTATTAAATGTTTATCTTTGTGACATCACATTGCAGGGTCTAGCTGTTATACAGGAAGAGATGGAGGATCCTAGTGAGCCCCTAATAGATGGCATTTATGGGCATGGAAAGTGAGTTACATGTAGCTTATCAGTTTTCTTTTACACAAATTTTGATTTTCAACAAGAAATCAAGCAATACAGATTTATAAATGTAATATTATTCTACCCCTTTTTGGTAATCCATATATTTATATTTTTGTTCAGGTCAATATATTTACATGTTACAAAAATTATGTTTGTCATTACTTTGAGGGATGCACATTCTACAAGCTCTGCTTTTCAGTGGATCCCTCCATTTCCACAGGTATAACTTAAACAACAATAAAAAAGAACTATTATATTGAATATTGTGTATGCTGTCTATTTTAGAACTTCAAACCATGTAAAATGTATTGTATTATTGAATATTGAATTTTATATCATATTTCTTGTCGAAATCCCTGTTCTGCTGAAAATAAAACTGAAACTGAAACTGAATACTTTGAAAGTCAATAACTGTGGAGTTTAATCATAAAACAGTTTAAACATAGAAATCAAAGCTTGAATAGTGAGCAAAGTGTCAGATAACATTGGATGTTTATGACCTGAATAAAAATCTGATTATTGTATAACATTCATCAGCATATTAGATTGGTGCATTAATTTTCAAATCACAGGTTGTTTTTACCCTTCATTTAGAAACTTACAATATCTCTTTGCAGAAGATGAAATTTTGAACATAGTATACTGGCATGAACCTCCAAATATATAGGGTAAAAATATTTGTTGGTGATTGGTTTTCTTTAAAATGTTTTTCTATTTTTGTTGGTAATTTGCAGCCAATGCTTGATAAACCTGATGGTGACTGGTCGGGCTGTTTCAAATGTCTTTGATCACGAGAAAGATGTAGCTGGTCTACGTAAGTTTTACTGGTACCTTATTTTACAAGATTATGTGAATAATTTATATAATAATCCTCTTCCTCTTCCATAAACAAATTCAAATTTATATAATTTAGTGAAATACACTACTGCTATTGGGCCCTTTTTTGAGGGACACCCTACCCTGCAAAATTTCTGTCAGATAGTTTAGAATTTAGCTTTCTTACTTGGGTATAGATAATCCTATTTTTCTTGAATGATTAGTTTGTTAACCCATTAAGTTTTTTCTCACGCTTGTATGTTCCTTTGTGAAAAATGTACAAGTAACTGTTGTATTCCACAGGTAAATGTTATCTCAGTATTAAGAGTGATAACAATTCATCATCAATGACATCATCAATGACATAAACATATAGTATTCTAAAGGCAATTAGATGAATACTGAGGTAATTAATTGAACTGATGTTATCGATTGAATTTTATTTCAGAAATGAAAGGTATCTCTAAACAGTCATTGATTGGGTTCCTGACAATCCTAGAGAATCTCAAGTATTGTGAAGTAAGTATGACATCATCAGAACTATTTATATACAAATAAATTAATATGAATAATACAATATTCAGAAAATAGTATCAATTCTTCAAAGTTAATGAAAGATTTCGTAAAATGTCATGCCTGCAATATGATACAAATCATATAACCTGTGCAAAGGCATGGGGAAATCAAGATTTTGGGGATAAAAAGGAAAATTTATGGGATAAAAGTATATCAAGTAATTGATAAATAGTGAGGCAATGACATGACAAACTGATAACCAAATTGGCAATTTGTGTAGTGATTTTCATTGTTCCATAGTTTTTCATACTTTATCAAAAATTCATAACTTCCTTATTAGTTATCCGATTTTACTAAATTAAAAAAAAATCTGTTTCTCTTGTTATTCTGTATCTAGTAAAATCAAATTATTTTTGGAGTGGACTTAACCTTTAATGTGCCAAGGGGTTGTTTCAAGATTTTACCAAAACATGGACAATGCTTTCTTTTCAAACATCTGTCCTTTTTTTACCCATTGTTCATATATAACAAAATGTTGTGTACAAAATTGTAGCAAAATTGATTACCCTTTCTAATGATACCAAGTTCTCCTACTTTGCTTAATTTAATGTATGAAAATTATTTAGAAATATACATGAGTTTCCAAGCAATGTTTGTAAAGGCTTTCAGTCTTGGGAATACTCGTGGATATAGAATAAGAATGTAAATTTCCATAATTTTTCTTCATACGGACACCTGTCGTTATGTTATATCTAATTTTATAACTTGTATCTAATTTTATAATCATTTTATAACTATTTTCATGATACATGTCTACAATTTTTTTTTAATTCATGTAGGTTGGAACGTTGTTAAAGAACCCTAACTACCCTATCTGGTTGCTTGCCAGTGAAACTCACCTCACAGTATTCTTCTCCAGAGTAAGTTGTTTTCTTCTTCGAGTATAGTACAGTCCGCCGTTGGCGTATTATCGTACCTTGTGCTTGTCAAGTGCCGAGTGTACAGTGCAAGTAAAAAGGCTCTACAAGAATTCTATGTGCAGCTAAAAAACAGTCTGAAGCTCAACAGAGCTTAATGTGTAGCACCTTCTGCTTGAAAAGTTCCAAAGAGGTGCAATCGACGACAGCAGATGGTAAGGAGTTCCACAGTCAGAAAGAAAAAAAATCTACCGGTGAATTGGTCAAGACCATAGCTATTTGAGAGAGACAGTTGCATCACAGGAAGCTGCTTCTGATTCGTCAGGCAAATTTGTATGAAGCTCCAAAATAGTTCCCTCTCACAGATGTCGCAGTCGAGTGGTTTAAGCACTTGACTTGCAGTTCAAAGGTAGTGGTTCGATCGCTGACATGGCACTAATGTCCTTTGGCAATGTATTAATCTTCATTTGCCACTCGATACCCAGGAGAGAAATGGGGACCCGATAGGATGACAAAAGCATTTGTGTTAGTAATTGTCTACGCCCTCATGGTGACCATATTGTAGGAATACTCCCCAGGGAGTGGAGATGGTGCACATTGTGCGTGAATGAATCCGATGACAGGGATAACAATATTTGTTAAACGCTTAGAGACGATATACCGTATTAAGTGCTACATAAATCCAAGTTATTATTATTGTAGAGACTGTGAGTGGGAAAGAACTTTTGGGAGCAACATGATTTAACCTATGACCCATCTTGCATATGCATGGATACGCATTTCGCAACTATATCTCTCAATATGCTATGGCCACGACCAGTGCGGTTGTACTTCTGTCGACCTCCAGCTAACTGATGTAATGTAAAACAAGAAACTTATGTGTTAGGAGACTTAAGCAATGTAAACAGTGTTCATTTTCGCAAAATAAAACTCTCATGAATCGCAAAATTGGAGTGTTGTGTTGGCTGTGATTCAGTTATTTGAAACTTTCACAAATAGAATCTCTCTCAAAAAGTTTCATACATGTGAAAATCGTGGTACAAAAAGCTGTGGTAATTATATCCAAAATCCTTCATAAAGAAGTTATATCATAACTTTGTTTATGCAACACAAGAACAGCATATTTCTGTCAAACCTGCTTAAGTGACCAACTGTCTTCAAAGACCACATTTTTTGTTTCCCTTGAAAGTTTCTCATTAAAACATGTACTAAAAGAACCTGTCTTCAGAGACCACCTGTCTACAAAGACCACTATTTGTGTTTCCCTTGGGCGGTCACTATAGACCGGTTTGACTGTATCATAACTTGATACAGTCAAACATGCTTTAGTGACCACCTGTCTACAAAGACGACATTTTTTGTTTCCCTTGAAAATGGTTTCTCATTGAAACATGTAGTAAAGGAACCTGTCTACAAAGACCACTTGTTTTGTTTCCCTTGGGCGGTCGCTATAGACAGGTTTGACTTTATATATGCTATACAAGAACAGCATATTATTACCGTTATTATCATTCTTTTTTTTTTCTCTCCTTGTAGGAGTTAGCGCTGGTCGCTACAGAAACCAAATGGGAGGAAGCGAGAAGAGTGTTCAGTGAGTACGATACAGAAGGTAGCGGCTTCATCCAGTGTGCCATGCTGCAAAATGTCCTGGAGGCACTTGAGCTAGTAGCTGTGCCTGAATAGTAAGCAAAATATATTATTTTAAAGAGAAGGTTGAGTTCTGGGAAGAGGTGAAAAATAATTTGTGAGCTTTATCATTGTTATTATACAAGTGGGGAAGAACAATCAGATAAAAAATGTTCCCTGAAAAGCATGGCTCTTCAAATGCCTTAAGTATTCTAAGTATGGCAAGTAACATCATACAAATCGGGACAGATTTTTATGCCACATGTTTGTGTAGTCCCATATACATCTTTCTGTGTACAGTGCTTGTAGCTTGACCAAGACTGGGCCAAATTTCTTATCATTTTGATGATTCCAGAACCGTGCCGTACACACCAATACTTATATGCTAGATGATCAACCTTTTCTGATTGATTCCACAGCTTTTCTTTCACAATGCAATCGCATGACCAGAACTCAACTTTATCTTTAACTCATTGACTACTGAATTTTCCCTGTCCCCTAAGGTTTAGTGTAGGAATCTCCAGGTTCTAGTAGGCATCGGGTTAAGTTTGAGGGAAATTTCTTTGAAAGAATTTGCTGTAACTTCCAGTTGAAAGATAATGGGAGAATGCAAGAAGGGTGTTCTGTGAGTACATTGGCAAAGGAAGTTGTTTCATCCAGTTTACCATGTTGCAACATTTCTAGAGGCTCTTGATCAAGTAGCTGTGCCAGAGTAGTGAGCAAAAATTATTCTTATTTCTACCTCTGACCTCTACCCTGACCTCTCCTTGCTGGAGTAATTGCTCATAAAACCTCAAGGTACTTTATACCTTAACCACAGATTCATAATTAGATTATATTTACAAAGACTGAAAAATAATAAGCAAGATAGATTTATTATTATTATTGTGTCTGTGTGTGTGAATATGGAAGATGAACCTTTGATTACTTTAAAGATTTAAGCAATTTTTGCTCCTTATAAGACAAGTCAACTTATCATTTGACTTTGAATATGAAATCAGTATGAGTTGCAGAGTAGTGGTTTAGGATCGTTTAATTATAGGACTTATAATTATATTGCATGATCAATCCGATCAGTTTTTCATTTCCAACTTTGTAAAATATTCCTTCTTTTTTTCCATCCGCTGCAGTGTTGAGTTCATGACACAGCGTCTAGACCCTGAGAAGTGTGGGATCGTCCTTCAGAACATGTTCATGGCAGAGTTCTTTCCTGACGAGGTACTAAAATGAAACATGTCGATCATTTCAAATTTAATCAGGATGGTTTAGATCGTTAGGAATCTCTCGTATGTTACAACCAGATAAATTACTTCTTTATTTTATGTCATAGAAAGATTAAGATTCCTGATACAACAGATTGAATATCCACACACTAGTACAACTTGTGTATAAAGATTGCTCAAGTGAAACAAGAGAAAACAATTCTTTATCAACAGGTGGTCTTCCTGTACAGGATATTCTATTTCAGGCTTTAATTTCTAGGCAACTTGTTCAAGGGAAACCCAAACAAAAATGTAGCCTTAATGCACTTGTAGTCTAAAGCTGGTTTCACTGTATATATTTATGATTTTTAATACCAGGGTTGTATTTTGTGATTAAAGCTTATTTTATTAATAAACTAATCTACAATTTTTCGTGCAAACGAAGAAATGTGTAATGTCTGCATTAAATGCCAGTGAGCAATGATAATGATCACAACTTGAGTTTAATTTTTCATCACTCTTTGGATATTAAACAATATTTTTAAGAAGAAATTAATTGTTTTCTGACAATTGTTTCTCTTTCAATGCCACCAGCCTGATAGGTTACTGCCAGAGTACTTCACAGTGTATCATTACAATGGAATAAGCAGATCCAATCCCAATTCAAAGGTAATTGTGAATGATATTTGATTAAATTAGTAATTGTTTTTCTCTCCATCTACAAGATTTCATTTCTCTGTCTGAACTCACTCATTGGCTGGTTAATCCTATATATGGATTGATTTGAACCTGATTTAACTTGTTCCACTGATTTATGTATAATGTAGCACAAAGTGTCAAACTGTTTATTCAGAACAAAATAACATCATTCTGTAACAAAATGAAGAGAAATAATAAATCCAGTCTCAGTCTGGGAATGAATAATGAGAAATTGATTTCATCATGACTTGATTCTGTTTTTCATTTACTTACAGATTTGTATAATATTCATGGGATGAAAAGATTAACACTCAGTGTTCCATATACAGTAACAGAGCAAATTTCTTCAATGTTTTAATCTGGACTAAAGCAAGTGCATGTTTATGAATGCCTGCCATTATAATAAGTTAACTTAAAAATCCACTAGAAAAAAAGTTGAACGGACACAAAGCTTTTGGAAGAGAGGACACCAAATATCACGCAAGTCGGTCTGCTCTAATAACTTGTTAAGTAATTTTCTTCAAAGCATCTCTTGCTAAAAACATATGTTGCTGAATATTTTCTTTACTATGAAAATGGGAATACTAGTTTAATTTCTTCCATTTCAATTCTTCTTTCTTCCGGCTAGGTAATGTTCCTTAAAGGAAGAGGCTCCGCCCCCAACCCCGGTGAGCTGGAGGTCCTGACAGAAGCCACGCCCCTTAAATCTTGCCTGCGGACAAAATGGCCAACGTTCGAGGCCGACTGGGAGAACAATGTGAAACCCTCCATAAATTGATGCTACGCATAGTTTTGCAAACTCTTGTACATAATGCATGTACATATGGACTCCATTTTTTGACATGTACAGTCTTTTACAAGGCATGTAGATACTACATGTACATGTATAAGAAAAGCCACCAACTACACAGTCTCATAAGATATCGATTGTCTGTGGCAATCTTGGAGAGTGAAGGAAGTTGGATTATCCAGAATGTGATGGATATGCTTGAACAATTTGTTTCCTGTGAATTTACAAGGCTATGTAATTCCGATCAAGGATGTCCATTATCCATTAACCCTCTTGAGATATGTCTTTGTGACTCAAAGCCAGGTGGAACTGTTTGAATAGATACCCCAATTGCTACTGTTCTGTTCATCAGAAGCTATGAGTTGTTAGTAAAGAGTCGAAGCCACTAAGTTTTGTACTTCTTATAGATTTAATCCAGGGGCTGTTTGGTTCAGTAGGCAATTGGTTAAGAATCATACCCCCTTGAGATATGCATTTGTGATTCAAAGCAGATTGGATCGTCCAAACTGCATTGGATACCCCTATTTCTACTGTTCTGTCCGTCGGAAGCTATTCGGTTTTCTAATGAATTAAAAACTACCTAATTCTATACTTGACATATATTTCATCCAGAGGGCTGTTTGGTTCACATAGGCAATGGGGTAATAGCTATACTCCCTTGTGATGTATCGATCAACCTTTGAAAATATGAGAATATTTAGATGAAAAAGATATAGTATGAAAGACAAGGTGCTTCTACTTGTATGATCAGTGAGTGCTGGTATTATACAGCATTCCACGATTAAAAAAAGTCTCTTTGTATTCGTCAATTGATAATCAATAATCGATTGCTCAAGTTGAGAGAACAGTTATTGTCAATTTACTTGTTTTCTATGCACACACTTCATTTATTTATTATCTCTTGTCGTATGTAAATATTATTATTTCTCTTTATTTCTGTTACTTTCTCCTGCAAACTTGTAGATACAAAATGTTTTCACGACTTTTATATTTATTACTGTAATACAGGTAGTGTGATTTGATTCTAGATGAAAAGCTTGGTCATAATCAGCACTCTTCATCATTACAGGAATAAAGTTGTAACAGCCTTTATATATATTTGAGAGCCAGAAGGACATTAACTCTTATACTATAGAAACAGAGAAAATGCCCTTTTGGCCCAAACAAACGATTTGATGATTCTTATAAAAGATGAGAAGAGTGTAAAATTCAACCTGATATAAAGTCATGGGCGCTTAAAAGTGAGAGAAACGATGCTCTAGAAAATAACAGATCAGTGGAAGATTGAGATAAATCCAATATGGCATGGAAAGATATGCAATGTTGAAGTTGTAATCCGTCAAACAAGTTAGCAATCAAATTGGCAACTCTGTGATTTACCATGTGAGCACCTCTCTGGAATGGTTTGACCGTAATAAACAAAACATAATAGCTCATCTTTTTCATAGAAGGGAAATGTAAAATTGTGTCCAAATATATATCTAGGGTATAATTTGGATTAAATGTTTTTGGAGAATTTTTTGAGTACAGACAAAAGGAAGGAAGTGCTTGCAAGGCTAATTGCAATGTAGCCAGTTTGTGTTTGATTAATCAAAACTTCAAATTTATCCTTTCAGACTTTCCTCAAACTCTCACAGTTTCACATGTCTCCTTTTCATGCTTCCCATTTAATAATCCTAATCAACTGTTAGTTAATCATGATACACATTCTTACTACATGTAGAAGCACCCAAGACTGTCATCATAATGAATTGTTTATTTTCTTGCCACTTTGTGTTATTTTGTCATTTTGCATTTATGTTCCATCAGATGAGATCAACATCTCAATTCAATTTTGTTGGAGTAATCAAGTCCCATGTCTGCACATCAGTATAATAGAAATCAGCCTTTCTCATCAGGGATAATGAGATTTATCACTTAAGAAGTGATTTGCAACTGGTCTCCAAAAATCTAAATGATTGGTTGAAACCTGTTTGGAGGTACTAGATGTAAATAAAGAAACAACTCCACACAAAAAAACAATTTGATCATTGAATACTCAAAAGTTAAAACTTGGTACCAGATTAACACAGTGTAAATCTGATCGATGTCAGCTGATTTATGCATGAAGTGTCAAACTGTTTATTCTAAACAAAATACCATAATTCTCTAACAGAATGAAGAGAAACAATAAATCAAGTAATGAAATGAATGATGAGAAATTGATTTATCAGTTATTTATCAGCTAATGTGCTTTCTGTTAAGAAAGAACAGATCATAAATGACTCAAAAGCCAAGACTGGTATTAGACTGTGATTAATAGTGTAAAGTTTAAGAATGTCAAATTGGGAGAATTTCCTTTGAATAAGGGAAATTACAATCAGTAACTTAGCTAAACCTAGCTGTTTGATACAAATGGTATTTAAGAAATTAAGAAGCACATTTTATATCATTATCCATGTAATGTTTTGTACTCCTCTGATTCAGTAATCCTTGTCAATTGTTTTCCCGCTGATTTTCAAGTAAACTGAATTTGGCAAGTAAATGTTGTGCAAGGAACATTATAAATAACTTTGAATTATGCATTTAAAAAAAATATTCTAAAAGGTGATGGAAAGTAAGATTATGGTCCGTGATAGTGGTATAGAGGTCCTTTGATATTGCTCCTTGAGTTGTGATGATGTCTATAATTTGTTTATGGTCATTCATACAATTATGCTATGACAAAAATAAGAAAATGCAGAATTATCTTGAAACTTGAAACTTTGAGACATCCCTTTTCTCACATTCTTACCGGTAGTCAAATTGATGACAATCCTATAACTTTCACGATCATGTTAAAATGTACTTTAGTTCCTTAAATATCCCGAAAGGCGCACAGAGTTATATTGTATTGCATCCCTTTGGAGACAGAGGGCATGAACTTGTATCATTTGACAAAAAGTTAATACCCTTTTGGAGGGTGTTTCAGAAAACTTGTCATCATTGACAAATGAAAGTTTTTGTTATAAACTACTGAAATCCTTGCTTCTGATTGGTTATCAGCAGATTTTTCACTGATATTTTTCATTTGTCATTAAAAAAAGACTTTTTGAAACAGGTCCCTGGTCCAAACATACAATTTCTTTACAATTAATGTGATCCTTCCATTGCGTACGCTAGGCCTTTATAAGAAAATACAATGCCACTTGCACAGGCAACGAGTGCGTTTTTATGAGAGATGGTAAGTTACCATTATAACTTACTTGGGAGAGGTGACCACATGTAATAAAATTGAGGAAAAGTGTTTCTCATCCGAGTCAAAGGTCATTGATTGGTATCATAATTGTATTCATTGAATCATTTTACATGATGTAGCTCCTTTTGGAGTTGTATATTTTCTGTCATTAAAATATGTGTATAGTTATACAAATATGTTAAATACAAGAATGCAAGTGTGGAAATGAAAGTTTATTCGGCTAGCTTTATTTATGTTAATGAAAAATTGTTGAAGTGTAAAGTTCTATCTCCTTTCCACAACTTCCCTCTCTTTCACCATCTCTCCCATCTCTGTGTAGGCATGTGCGTATGTGCGTATGTGTGCGTGTGTGACTCTCTCTTCATTTTTCTGTTCACTTGCACTTTCTCTTTCTTTATATCGCTCTCTCTCTCCCCTGCTCTCTCTTTCTCTCCCTCTCTCTATCTCTCTCTCTCTCTCTGTCCTCTCCTACGCCCTCTCACATCTCTTTTGGGGTAGGGTGTGGGTGTGTCAGTTTCACTTGTTGTTTTGTCTATTTGTTTGTTTAGTGTTTTGTTTATATGTAGAAGTAGCTACATGTAAATGATGGGTTACCTTGTGTTTATATATATATATATATATATATATATATATATATATATATATATATATATATATATATACGTATATATATTATATATCAGTGGCGGATCCAGGAATTTCTAACCGGGGGGGGGGGGGGGAGCACAAAATCGCATAGGGTGAAATATATGAATAACGATGGAGCGAGGCGTCAGCGGCGAGAGAGCGGAGCGACCAAGCGAAGGTGGGTCTGGGAGGGGCTCACAACCCCCTCCCCGAGTGGGAATCTTTTGCAATTGTTTCCCCCCTCCCGCGCGAGGCGCAGAAGCTATGACGTTTCATTTAACTATTATAGAAAGAAGACGATTCGTTGTACCGTTTTGGACTCTTAATCCTTATCTAAAGTTAGTGCCCCCCCCCCCCTCCCGCAAAAAGCGCGGAAGCTTTGACGTTTCATTGTACTGTTTTCGACTCTTAATCCATGTCTGAATTCAGTGCCCCTCCTCCCGCGCAAAGCGCGGAAGCTTTGATGTTTCATTACATGATCAAAGAAAGAAGACGATTCGTTGTACCTTCTCGACTCTTATTCCTAGTCTGAATCCCGCCCCCGCCCCCCCCCCCCCCCTCCGGGGACGGAGGGATACCATGCGTGTTCCCAAAATCTCCGGCTCGTAACAAATGAAAAAGGTCTACCCGTATTGACTTTACACACCGGACTTTTGCTGAAAGGGGGGGGGGGTTCTTGGAACACGCATATGCGTACCCTAAATAACACCGAGTTGGGGGGGGGGGGGTGTCTGAATTCATTTGCCCCCCCCCCCCTTCCGCGCGAAGCGCCGAAGCCTCGACGTTTCATTAAATTATTATAGAAAGGAGACGATTCGTTGTACCGTGCTTTACTCTTGATCCTTGTCTGAAATCAGCCCCCCTCCCTCCCGCGCGAAGCACGGAAGCTTTTACCTATCTTTTAAAATTGTTAATCTTAATCCTTGTCTGAATTCAGTTCCCCCCCCCCCCTCTCGCGGAAGTTTTGACGATTCATTCAAATATTAGAGAAAGGGTGGGCGGCTACACGCCGGGCAAGAGGGACCCCATATTAAGCACACTGCAAAATTGCGTTCCCCCCCCCCCCCCGCCCCTTTACCGGTAAAAAACACCTTCTTATAATATTATCCCCCTTTCTTTCTGTTCCCTTCTCATTATTCTCCTTTTCCACCTTTTCTCTCCACCGTCTTTCCCCTTTTCTTTTTTTTCCGCATTTTCTCTCCTCTCTCTCTCTCTTCCCCTTTCTTCCTTTCCCCTCCTTTATCTCCTCTCTCCTTTTCTCTCCTCCCTCTTTTATTCTCCTTTCTTTCTTCCCTTTGCTTTCCTTTTCCCCTCCTTTTTCTTTCCCCTCCTTTTTCTTTACCCTCCTTTTTCTCCCCCTTTTTATCATTTTTCTCGCTTTTTCTTTCCCCCTTCCCCCCCCCCCTTTTTTTTTTTTTTTTTTTTTACCGGGGAGGGCATGTGCCACCTGTGCTCCCCTGAATCCGCCATT